AGAAATTTATTGAGAAGCAGCTAGCTATGTACCAGACGTGAGACCAGATAAGATAGCAGTAACTACAAGTGCCAGCCCATAATTGATGTAGAATGTCATGAGTAACATTGGTCTTTTTCTACTTATGACCTAGTTTACTGAGCCTTAAGGAGATAATTGATCATGAGACCTTAGTGTTTTTTGGTAGAACAAGTTATGTTTGTTGAATTCTATCCATCTGTTTTAASAAAATGATTGTACTCTCAACTCTGCCATTTAACCATTTTTGAACCTGGGAAAATTAATCTGAGTCTAATATTCCTTAACTTTAACAAAATAATAGTATCTTCCTTACAATGCCTTTGTGAATGTGAAGTGCCTGTTTTAATGCCTGATCTGTATCACATATTGTAATACATGCATTCCTGGTGTAATATGTGATGTGTTTGATACTAGCTCCTGTTTTTGTTGTCTTCCTTTTTTATTGCAAACATGATTCTGAGATTTTTTTTTTAAAGAGAGAGAGAGAGAAAATTTTTTTAAAAAATATTTATTTTTTTTAGTTATCGGCAGACACAACATCCTTGCTTGTATGTGGTGCTGAGGATCAAATCCGGGCCGCACGCATGCCAGGCGAGCGCGCCACTGCTTGAGCCACATCCCCAGCCCTGATTCTGAGATTTTAATTGGTAATCTTTCAAGGATTAAGCAAACTATATCATGCTGGATTTGAAACATTTTAGACTTTTCTGAGTATTTTTTCATAAGGATTATTACTCTAAATTGGAGTATGAAGTATTCTATAACCTTGGAGTTCAAAATATATAATTTCATAGACATTTAAAAGCATTTTTAAAACAAGGAATTCCTGGGTAAAGCATAACTATCTTTTAACTATGAATCTGACTCGATACCTAGCCAGTAAGTTCAGAGTCCTTGACTTTGGATAATTATCAGCTGCACAGTACTAGACTCACACTTTGTCCTCTTTTTTTTTTTTTTTTAAAGAGAGAGTGAGAGAGGGGAGAGAGAGAGAATTTTTTTTTTTTAATATTTATTTTTTAGTTCTTGGCGGACACAACATCTTTGTTGGTACATGGTGCTGAGGATCGAACCCAGGCACACATGCCAGACGAGCGCGCTACCGCTTGAGCCACATCCCCAGCCCCACACTTTGTCCTCTTATGAGTCTTTTTTAATTGGAAAGATTAATACTTGATTGCCAGTGATTGTGCTTTTTTAGATTTAGTATCAAATAACATTGACTATTTTCTAACTTTTATAATAATTCTTTAATATTTTAGGAAAATCCACGTTGGTTGTTTTTCTTTTATTATCTATTTTTCTAAGAAGTTTTAAGCAAAAAATATTTTTAGGGATTATTCACAYAGTTTACAGTAGTCCTTTACAAGTGTCCTTGTATGTGGAGAAACAGAAAAAAAAGTTCATCTACAGAGAGAAAATGGTATAGATGGAAAGAAAGAACAAAGATGAAGGTCAGAAAGCACTGGGTAGATTCTTATTCTAGCACTTTGTAAAGCCCGGCTATCTTTTAGTAACATAATATACTCTAGTGATCTTCCCCCAAGTTGCCTTTCTTTGGGTAAATTTGCTCAGATTGGTTTCTCTGAATAGCAAAACCTCACATAAAAACACTAAAGTAAACTTAAAACAAAAATAGATGGATATGAATATCCATATGCCTAACAATGAAGCCACCTTCCTTCTATATATAAATGGATTGTAAACCTAAATATAAGCCTGTGTAAATTTCTTTCACAAAAACAGCAATAAATCTTTATGACCTTGAGCTAGGCAGACTCCCTAGATAAAACATCAAAACTATTAGAGAAATTAAATTTCATCAATATGCCATCAAGAAAGTGAAAAGACAGCTCAYAGAAGGGGAAAAATATTTACATGTGTCCTTGTATCCTGAATATTAAAACAAAAAGAACAGAAACTTATAATTTTGTAATAAAAGACACACAGTTTTTCAATGGACAAATTATCTGGTTAGACATTTCTTCAAAGAGGAAGTATAAATGGCCAATAAACCCATGAATAGATGCTTACCATCATTAGTCGTCAGAGAAACACAAATCAAAAGCACAAGGAGATACCACTTCACCACTAGTATCACTATAGTATCACTATAACTAAGTAGACAAATAATAAGTGTTGACAGGGCTGTTCAGAAATTGGAACCCTCATACATTGCTGGTAGGCTTGCAAAACAGTGTARTTGTTTTGGAAAACCAGTCGTGGTTCAGATGTTAAACAAAATTGTCAGGGGACTCAGCAATTCTACCCTTAGCCATATACCAGGCAAAACATATGCCATACAAGAATGGGTATTTGAGTGTCAAAGCATCATTATTCATAATAGCCCCAAAGTGAAACAACCCAAATATAATTAGCTGATGAATACCAAAGGCAGAACATTCTCTCTAATAATGTGGATGATAACCCACAACATGAGAGGGCAAGATTAGAAGGTGGACTAGACAAAGGGGAAAAAAGGGAAGGGAGAGGGGATGGAAATAGAAAAGACAGTAGAATGAACCAGACATAGCTTTCCTAATCTTATGTATGACCAGTGTATCTCCATATCATATACAACCACAATAATGGGATCCTGATTGGAACAAGTTATACTTATTCTACATATGTATAATATGTCAAAATACACTCTACTCATATATATCTGGAAAGAAGAAATTAAGCAGATGTGAGCAACTACAAAAAAAAAAGCTAATGAATGGATAAACAAAATGTGGTTACAATCATAGGTCACTTAACAGTAGGGATACTGGCTGAGAAAGCATCATTAGACAATTTTTGTCATTGTGCAGACATCATAGTACTTACAACACAAAGACAGCTACAGCATTACTAGGCAATATATCTTATGGAACCACCTCATACATGCAGTCCATCCATCATTGACCAAAATGTGTGGTGCAGGACTATATACACATAAATGGAAAATTATTCAGCCATAAAAAGAAGTGAAGTAATGATACATGCTGCAATATTGATAAACATTTTCAAACACTAAGTGAAAGAAGCAGGAAAAGGTGAAGAGAAGACAGAAGAACACATAATGTATGATYTTATTTGTATGGAATGTTCAGAATAGACAAACTCATGGAGATATAAAGTAGATTAATGATGTCCAGGAACTGGGAAGATGGTGAAATGGAGAGTGACGACTAACGGATACAGGGTTTTGTGGAAAAGGATACAAATGCCCTAAGATTAGATTGTGGTGATGGTTGTACAACTTTGAACATTATATACTAATCTAGTTTGTATTCTTTAAATGGGTAAATTGTATGGCACCTGATTTATATCTCAATAAAACTGTTTATTTTAAAGTAGATAGAAAATATAGTATGTTATCTAGTGATTTTTTTTTAAGTAGATAGAAAATACAGTATGTTATYTAGTGATAAAGAAACAAGCTCTAACTGAGTGGTGGATGCCTGTAACCCCAGCATCTGGGGAGGTTGAAACAAGAGGATCATGAGTTCAAAGCCAGTCTCAGCAATTTAGCAAGGCACTAAGCAACTCAGTGAGAACCTGTCTCAAAATAAAATTAAAAAAAAGAGCTGTGGATGTGTCTCAGTGGTCGAGCGCCCCTGAGTTCAATCCCTGGTACACCTCCCCCACCCCACCTCCACCCCCCAAAAAGAAACAGGCTTCAGCTGGGCGAGAGGTGCAAGCCTATAATCCCAGTGACTCACAGGCTGAGACAGAAGAATCATAAGTTCAAAGCCAGCCTCAGCAACTTAGAGAGGCCCTAAGCAACTTAGTGAGTTGCCCTAAGCAACTTTAGTGTCTCAAAAGTAAAATATGAAAAGGTCTGGGGATGTGGTTTAGCACCCCTTTGTTGAATCCCTGGTATAGGGGGGGAAAAAAAGAAAGAAAGAAAGAAAGAAAAGAAAAAGGCTTCAAAAATAATTAACTGATCTCTATAAAAATAACAGTTTGGGGTTATGTATTTATTACCTAAATATTTTTTCATAAGGAAAGTTAAAAATGCTAAGTAGCTGTTGCTTCATTTGAAGCTAATTGGAATAAAATTTTGTACTGATTGTATTTATTGGCTTGAATTACACCAGAAGTTTAAATAGATTTATTCTAACTTATCTGTCTCATTGCCTTTTTTTTTTTTCAGGGGTAGGGGAGTTTGAATAGAGACAGGTGTGTCATGGAAAGATCATGGACTTAGCATTTGTTAGGCCAGGACAAATACAGGTGCCCATCCAGGTTTTGGACAAATGATATAATTTCTTAGACTATCCATTTGAAAACTTTAAAATAAGTGAGTTGCTGGGTGTGAGAATTTTGAAGTTTCTTTTTCTTCCTAGTTGTTTGTTAGAAGTATGGGAGATTTTCCTAGGAAAAATAAAATTAAAATAAATAAATACAAGTATAATTAGGTTCTATCCATGTTTTAATGTATTTGTTCATATTAATGTTAGATTTTAAGCATTTTATAAACAAATGTTTAGACTCTATGTAATGTCTAAATCTAAAATAGGTTCTCAAGTTATTTAAAGAAACCAAAATTTAACTACATTGTGGGTAGTCTTTGAAGTATTAGGTGATAGAGATCATTAAAAATATTAACTAAAAATTTTATTTTAATTTTTTAGTCTTTTAAAAATTGTCATTGATTTTGACTGTTTTTTTTTAGATATTTGCATAGCATCTACAATTAATTCTAGCGCTTTCAACTAATTTTTAGAATATACTAATGTCACTGTTTTTTTTCCTGTTAGGGGTTTTTAATAATAAAATAYATATTTTTATGACAGCTAAAAACAGGTTGAATTTAGAGAAATCTGCTGTAATTACACATGGCCTTTTATACTGAGTTATTTAGTGGCTGATGTGTGGCAAATACATTTTTATGCTTCACTTAAATAATGGTATGGGGTGGGATTCAATTGTCTGTTTTTTAGCATGATTAGCTACATGATTTTAATATACTAGCATTTCTTTATTTGCAGAGATCCTGCATATTTTGATGAAAATTGGCTAAACAGAATCAAAACTGAAGTGGGAGATAATTGGAGGCTAAAGGTATTTCTTTTTGTTGTACCATCTATTGAATCTTTAAATGTTTGTGTGTGTTTGATATTTGTTATGGTGGTGKTTTTTGTTTGTTTGTTTGTTTAGTCTAATACATTTAGTAAGTTTTAGAAACCTAGGTAATCCGTAGTGAAATAATCTAGAATTAAAGATTGGAGGTATCCTGAAGTCAGTAAGACATAGTGAGGGCATGGGCTTTGGAGCCAGAGTGCCTGTGTTCTCACACAGGTCTACCAGTACTTTCTGTGGGGAAGTGTTGTCGTCTTTCTGTGTTTCARTTTCCCCACTGTAAAATACAGATTGTAATGGGATCTACCTCACAGAAATAAGTGAGTTATTGTGTACTTAGAATAGCACACAGAGGCTGGGGTTGTACCTCAGTGGTAGAGCACTTGCCTGGCACATGTGAGGCACTGGGTTTGATCCTCGGAACCACATAAAAATAAATAAATAAAATAAAGGTATTATGTCCACCTATAACAACAACAACAACAAAATAGTGCATAGTATGTGTGTTGGTTGCCAATGGTGATGGTTGTGTTGGTATTGAGAAAATGTTGATCATTATTTACTGTGTCCAAACACTCAAAGAATGAAACATTTTCATTTCTTTCCTAGTAACCTTAAATTTCAGTATTTCTCAGTCTTAAACCAAACCCACAATAAGAAATATAGTTTACTTTTGTAACCTGCTGCCCACCTGAATGTGTGTGCATATATAGGCAAGCAGCTTATTATTCATACTTTATATACTGATGTTTTTATTTTTTCAAATGTTGGTTGCAATCCACTAAATTTTTTTCTTTATATTTTTAAATAATTATATGCTCACAGGAAGTTGGTCCTGTGTAACTTTTCATCCAGTTTCTCTATTGGTAGTATCATCTATAATTATAATGCATTATCAAAATAGGGAATTAAACTTTTTATGATGTACAGATCATTTAGATTTTACCAGTGTTGCATGTACTTCTGTTTGTATGTTCAGTTCTTTGTCACCGTCTCATGGCATAGCATATTTCATTACTAATCACAGGGTACAGAACTATGGTATCACCAGAGACTTCCTGGTGCTGCCTTTAAAGCCACATTCATAATACCAACACACTTGTGTCCTTGCAACCACCAATTTCTTCTACTTTTCTGTAATTTTGGTACACTAGATTGATAGATTTTTTTCTTTTTAATATATACCGGTATATACTAGTGGAGACTCAGAAATGCAAATGATTAAGCATGTAAAGCCCCTGATCTGTCTGGATTTTTTTTCCTTTTTTCATTCATATATTCATTCACAAATTTGTTTATGAACAAAGGAATGAGTAAATGATGAGGTCTCGCTCTGTTGCTCAGGCTGGTCTTGAACTTTTGGACTCACGTGGTCCTCCCACCTCAGCTTCCTGATTACCTGAGACTACAGAAGCATACCCACCAAGTCCAGCCCTGGTTTGTCTTTATATTTCCCCCAGAAAGCACTTGCTTGATTAACAAGTGTTGGTTGCTTAAGTATTGGGACTAATTCCTTCTTTTTTCTAAGCAAGGGAATGAAAACTGTTTAATGGCTCTGTTTTAATTTCTGAACAACCTTTCAAGATTAGGCAATTAAAGTAATCATTATATAATGTTATAGTGTGTTCAAAACAATGTAGGCATGTTTAAGATAATGCTACTAATCCTTTTGTGTTTGCTTGCTGGCTTGATCAAAAGGGGAGTTGCATATTCTCTTCCCCATGTGCACAGAAACACACACATGCCCAGATGCACTATATTCGTTGTCATGAGTATGTGGCAATGGTATTTAGACAGATAAAAATACAGTTATACAGTAAAAATGTTTATTATATTCTTAATGTTTAGAACTGAAATTTGTTTTCCATATTTTACCTTAAGTTATACTTCCTAAATTTTATGATGCCATTGAGTAAAAAATATGATATATATCTTTGTGATTGAGGAAAWGCTACTCTTTTAAATGAACATATTTGTTTTTAAGATATTCTAATTTTAAATATATGAGAAAAAGGATCATCTTAGAATAGGACTAAAGAAAATAAAGAATTTTCATATCTTTAAATTCTTCCAGAAGAACAAACATGTTATTTTTGAAGTTTATTATTGTTTTTAATAAATGAGCAAGTTTTTAGTTTATTTTTTCTTAAAAATAAATGTCTTCAACCCTTGGGTTGCCCTTAATTAATTCAGCCTCTTTTTTAAAAAATATAAATCTATAGTTTTATTAAGACAAAAACTGACCATGTATAGGAAGTTTACATTTAAACAAAGTTTTCATAGAAATCTAACACAGGCCTAAAAAAGATTTTATAATGTAGCTCTAATACATGTTAATCTTCTAAGACCAGGTCTTTTGAAATCATTTGACCCTTAAATTGACTCGTGAAACTTGTGCTGTCAGTGAATGAAACTTGCACTAATGGTTTCAGAGTTTAGAATTAAAAAATGAGTTTCCAGTAGTTTCTCCAGTAGTTTCCATCCTAAGAACATGGGCTGTCCTCTTTCTCTAGTCTCCTCTTTACCTCCCTTGGTGCCTCCCCACATCCCTCCCACCTGCGCCCCCCACATGCCCTGCCCCCCAGTATATCAGCCATTGGTTTGGATGGACAAGCTGATATTTATAACTTCATAATTGGGAAAAAAAGGGGGTCTTTTTGTTTAACTTCAGGAATTAGCACCTCTAAGACAGAATGATCTGCCTAAATATACTCTCCCAATAAAACACTTTCCCATCTCAACTCAGTTTCTATCTCCAAAGTGGCAGCTGTGATAATTTTGTGGGGAACAACATTAAGCTCACTTTAGCTCATAAGTTTCAGGCATTCACAGCCTTTAAATAGTCTCTCACAAGTCTTCATTTATGGTGCCAATGACATTTTTTGAAATGGTAAAATACTTACCTCTTCCAATCATYAGTTACTTGTTCTTTCCATTGTTTTACCATATTCCCAGTCAGGCCCCCATTTTTAAAAAATTGTTTATTTTATTTATTTTAATGAGGTGCTGAGGATCGAACCCAGTGCCTCACAAGTGCTACGCAAGTGCTCTACCACTGAGTCACAGCCCCAGCCCCTCAGGCCCCAAATTTTAACTACAGTGATCCTATTCATTTCTCTTCTACCCCACCCTATCCTTCCCACCCCCAAATACTACACCATTAATAGCCAAAAACTATACACGTGCTGCACTATAAAAAATGCAAAGTTAAGCAGGGTATGATGGTGCACACCTGTAATCCTAACAACTTGGGTGGTGGAGGCAGGAAGATTGCAAGTTTGAGGCAAGCTCTAAGCAATTTAGTGAGACTTATCTGAAAACTAAAAAGGCTGGGGATGTAGCTCAGTGGTAAAGCACCCCTGAGTTCAATCTCCAGTACCGGAAGAAAAAAAAAAAAGAAAGCATTATTGGGAAGAGGGCTATGGGTTGTGGAGATGTTCTCGGAAGATTGACAGTACCTTTTTGCTTTCCTACACACCCAATTCTCCAGAGTTTGACCTTCATCGAAGGCTCTTTGCTTTTCTCAGTAAAGTGTAGAATGGGTTGCCTTGAAATACTTATCTCCTCTCCTCCCCTGGAATGGGTGTGCAAACTCTCCAGCTTGGAACAGCTTTTAAGTGCTTGGGCTGCTGCAGGGCACAGATTTAAGATTGGTTCTTCAAAGGACATCTTCTCAAGCTACCTAATAGTGTCAAGATAAGTAGAACTCCTCCTCTTCCCAGTCTGAGGCGACAGGGGTTGAGACTCAGGAGAGTTAATTCTTATTATCTTTTTTTGTTGTCATCCTCCAGGGTGTGGGAATGCCATTGAGTCAGCCTTTACCCATAGAGTGCTATGACAGCCTGTGAGCACTTGACATTGGCTTCCTTGGAAGGGATGAAGTCAGCCTTGTCAGAGTTTTTCAGCTAAAGTCTGTAGCTCCATTATTCAGCTCCAGCTTTAAAACCTGGGCAATGCCTTTTTTTCCTTCTTCTTTGGTTTGCTCTCTTCTTCATTATCTTGAGAGTCAGAATCAGCTTTGCACTTTCTTCCCTCTGATTTATCTATCTGTCCTGGGCTGTTTTCTGTGACCTTAGAAACTAAGCAATGAGCTCCAGGGAATCCAGGTTCTCTTCTGGCTCTGTATGTTGTCCTCATCTGAGAAAACTTTGTTTTAGGAGGTACTTCACTTTGCCCTTTACAACTTGACCATAGATAATCTTTTCCCCCCATATATTACTCTTCCTCTTTTAGCACCTCCTCCACTTTCTTGTTTTTTCTCCAAAGTGCCTGCTGGCTTTCTAATATGAAGGGGGATGCTGCCCAGAGTGGTGCTTAAGAATCTGAAAGGAGGGGCTGGGGTTGTGGCTCAGCAGTAGAGCATGTGCGAAGCACTGGGTTTGATCCTCAGCACCACATAAAAATAAATAAAATAAAGGCATTGTGTCCAACTACTGTCCAACTAAAAAAGTATTTAAAAAAAAAAAAGTCTGAAAGGAATCAGTGCTAAGCTACTGGTATATCTTGTTGTGCCAGTTGGGGGAATGCTGCCCAGGAATGGAACAAGTTGGGTGGCTGCAGTCAAGCCCCTTCCTGAAAGCTGCAGCATACTGCAGGCCTTGCCAATAGCCCTCAGCTCAGCCAAATAAAAGAGCCTTGAATTCTGTGCTGCCCTACCACCTGTTCCATGTAGATGTGGACTAATTTAGTCTATTTGATTCAATAGCCACAAGTTCTATCATTTCCTGTTCTAAAATATCTTCAATTACAGGTCCTTAATCCAAAATTTGAAACTCTCTGGTCCTAAAACATTCAGACAATGGATGCTCAACCTGTACTAATATAGGCCAAGGTCAGCTAGATCAATGGGATGATCAACAGAATCATATCATATACACATTTAATTTAACATAGATTTAACTGTATGAGTTGGGGGAAAAAATTACAATTTGCAATAAACATGGCAGTGATACTCTGTTATTTCTCCCAAATAACCTATTGGCCAGAGAACTTAAGCTCTGGGATGAGTAAACACTGGGCGGTATCTGTGGTGTTTCCTTTTATTTCATTTTTAGGGTTCTTCGTAGAGTATAAGGTCTTGTAGTACTCAGTATTATTTGTTCTAATGTTTCAAGATATGACAGTAAATTTTACAACCTGTCCTAAAAGTATTTACTTTGAAAAGCTAAAGAAACAGCAATCTTTTCCAACAGTGAGGGAATTTGGAGACATTATATTTGGTGGGTTAAGAGATCTGTAAGGGTAATTTTTACTATAGTTTTTAGCTTAGTGCTCTAAATTAAGAATTGAAATCTGTGTGTAAGTGATAGCTCCACTTTGCTGAGGAAAATAGCACTAAACTTGAATCTTCATTAATGACAGCAATTTTTTCTTTGTAGAAAATCTGAATAATTCAATGTAACTGTTAAGTCTCATTCACTTACCCAGCATTTTCTGTCAATGTGGTCATTACATTGAAACTTAAACTTAGTTGGAAATTTAATTTTTTGCTTTTTTGTTGTACTAGGGATGGAACTCAGGGCTTTGCACATGCTAGCCGTAAGCACTCTACAACTGAGCTATATCCCCAGCCCATTTTTTAATTTGAGACAGGGTTTCTCTAAATTGCCCAGGCTGAACTTGAACTTGGAATCCTCCTGCCTCAGCTGTCTGATTATCTGGGATTACAGGTGTGAGCCACAGTGCTCAGTCTTAATTTTTTTTATAAATTTCTTAGACCTGTTTTGATGATGGTAAATTCAAATATGCTCTTAAATTTTATGTTTTTTTTTTTTATACATCTTGGGTATCCCTTATCTGAAATGTTTGGGGACCAGAAGTGCATCAGATTTCAGAGTGTTTTGGATTTTGTAATGTTTGCGTTAGATTTTGTGGGTTGAATATCTCTAATCTGAAATCAGAATGTTCCAAATCCAAACTTTTGAGTACTAATGTGACTTTCCAAAAGTTTCAGATTTGGGAGAATTTAAAATTTTAGATTTTTGGATTAGGAATGCTTAACTTGTATATGCTTTATGATTAACTAGAATGATGTTTGGCTTAGAAAATTTTTATGTTAAACTATATTTTGATTTTTGCTTGTCTTTGACCCAGTTGTTTTCTCTCTTTATACAGATTAGCAATTTAAAGAAAATATTAAAAGGAATCCTGGATTACAATCATGAGGTAAGGACTCTCTTCTGATTCTACTTGGAAGTATTACCATAGGATAGTTTAATTTTATAATAGTTTTAAATAAGGAAAATTCATTTTCAAATTTAATAATGCACTTATTTTCTCTTATTTAGTTTCTAGGATATTGGTTCCAATAACCATCTGTTACATGCCAAACAGATGAATAAACTTTATTGCATTATGGGTAGTTTGTGGATGATTACTAATTTATATTAGATTTTGCTTTCTACTATTAATTTTCCCTTCTTCCCTAACTTGTGAAAATGGTTTAGAGCCTGTGCACTATCATGGTTAACTTCACTGCCTACTTGTGTCTTATTATTTGGCAAGACCCTGGCCCTAGGTGAACTTACTTTACCCTCAGAATCTGCATCACACATTGCTGGGGAAATTTTCAGAGAGTGGGACTAAATCATTTCACTTTAAATTTCATGATCATAGATTCCAAATGGACACAATACTATGTAGAAATCTGCATTATTTTCCTATTGTTTTCTTCCCCCTGCAAGCTTACGTGTGTTAATGATTACATTTATAACCATAACACCAGTCTTCCCATTTCAGTAAGTGTGACACTTCCATCCACCCTAGTACATCGTACAATCTTAACAGTTCACACTCCATCTCTACAAGGTACTGAGGATGAACAAAGAGTTCTTTACCACTGAGCTATATCCCCAGCTCTTTTTATTTTTTGAGACAGGGTCTTGCTAAGTTGCTGAGGTTGGCCTTAAACTTAGCAGTCCTTCTGCYTCAGCTTCCTGATTGCAGGTGTATGCCACTATGCCCAGCCCTTCCTTCTTTTAATACCATCTGCAAGATCTATTAAACCTTCAAAATAGAGTTTTCTCCAGCTCTCCCACCACGACCCTACACCAAACCATCATTAGCTTGTGTTTAGATTACTAAAAAACCTAACAGATTTTACCATTATCCTTTGGTAGTTGGGTCTCCACTTTCAAGCTAGGATAGTTTTTAAAAATATAAACTAGAATATGTCAGTTTCCTTCTTTAAGTCTTAGGTGATTTTGTATTGCCYTAAAGATCAAATCTACATTTCTTACAATGTACCACCAGGTGCTACATGATCCTCTAACTACTTCTTACACTACTTTCTCCTCACCAACAACACTATAGCCCCTTCATCCTCCTCCTGTTCCTCAGATATGCCAAACCCCTGTGTGCCTCAGAGCCTACACTCCTGGTTCTCTTGATATATGTCATGTTCTTCTCTCAGCTCTTGTCATTGCTAGCACATACTTATTTGAACCTATTCTTATTTCCCAGAGATGCATTCCCTAAGTATGCGCTATCTCAGCTGGGACAGCAGTTACTTCAGCCCATTTATTCACAGCACTGTGTTTATTCCCTTTGATCCTTGCCATATCTGGGCTCTTTTTGTTTTGTTTTGTTTTGTTTACTTGGTTGTCTCACCCTCATATTAGTCATGAAATGAGGTTGGGACCAGACCTGATGTAGTCATTGTTACATCCCAGCCCCATTGCATAGTATTACCACATATTTGGCACTCTAGATTTTCTAATTATCTCAAGTATGTGGTGAAGCCCTCCTGTAATTTCAGCTACTGGGAAGGCTGAGGTGGGAGGATCATAAATTTGAGGCCAACTTCAGCAACTTAGATCCTGTCTCAAAATAAAAAGGTCTGGGCTTGTGGCTCAGTGGATTGAATTGCTGAGTTCAATCCCCAGTACCATAAATAAGTAAATATTTATAAATATTAGTAAATAGATACTATAAATGTTTATATATTTGGAAATATGTAAATAGATGACTACTCTAAAATTAATAGTGTTTATTTACATAAAGTAAATACTAATTTCCAAGAAAAATACGACACTTAAGACGTATAACAGTATATGTAGGGTTTGTGTTAGACATCTTGACAAATGTGTAAAGGAGTATTTTATTACTGTTACTTCTTAAGTGTACTAAGAAGTAATATTTATTAGATCTTTGGCTTAGAAGAAGTAATTGTTTTTGTTCTGAGCATTGTGCCTATTTTGTGAAGTATAAATGGTAATTTTCACTAAAGTTTTACAGTAAAAAAGAACGAAAACTTATATTAAAGATCATGATGATGTTTCAGGAACATTTTATTGAGTGTTATTGTGAAGAAGGTATTATTTGTAATGCTGTACTCTTACTAGATGTTAGAAGTCCTGTTATCCCCATCTTACATGTGAGAAATTTAGGTCAGGTAATCTAACCATATATACCTCTTTCTGTTAATCTATTTTGTTTTTTTAATTCCTCCAACTATTCTACCTCTACTCCACAAAATTTTCCTTGGCAATGTTTTGGTCCTTGAGTCTATCACTGTCACTCTGTGGCTTCAGTCAGCATCATCCAGTCATGCTCCTTATATTCAGAGAGTAGAAAAATCCTACCTCTGAAGATGGCTTTATGTCTTTGGAACTTTTCTAATGCCCTTTTAAGAGCCCAATTCTATTCAGTACTAAATGATTATGACAAAGAATGGGAGAATAAGTAAAACTAAAATCAGTATATATAGTTGATATTTGCTTAGTTTGTGCCTGCACAACTATTTAGTAAGCATACTACGTGACTCATTACCAGTCCTCATTTATTCTCATAGCCCAGTGTTTTTTTTTTTCTTCTGACTACCTACTGTAATTTGTAATTGTGTATTTCTTTGTGCGTTTACTTATTCATTTTATGCCTTCTACACCCTACATAAACTCCTTGAAGGCAGAATACTTCTCTGTTTTTAAAAGCCTTTAACAGAATAATTCTAGTTTTAGAAATTTACCTACTAAAACTTCATAACAGCCACTCAGAATTCTGAGGCAGGAGGATCACTTGAGCCCAGGAATTGGAGGCCATCTGGGACAACAGAGTTGAGTGAGACCCTATTACAGTAAAATAAAATAAAACTACTTAGGGCTGTCTACCTCGTCATTATTTCATAGTAGGTAAAAATTGAAAATAACCCAAATGTCTAACAATAAGAAAATGTTTTGTAAATACCTTGCAACCATAAAACTTCGTATTAATAAAAACTATTTAATAATATGAAATATGAGATTGTATGTGGCATATGATACCAGTTTTATAGAAAATATACATAAATGTACTTGTAAAATATGTATGCAGATCCATAGTCTCTAATCCTTTAGACCAGATCCATTTTGAAATCCAGAGTTTTTTAGACTTTAGAAAGGTAATATGAGCCTGATGCAGTGGTGTACAACTCGGGAGGTTGAGGCAGGAGGATCACAAGTTTGAGGCCACCTTAGCAATTTAGCAAGATCCTGTTTCAAAATGAAAAGCACTGGGAAGTTAGCTTAGTGAGAAAGCACCCTTGAGTTCAATCCCCAATATCTCCTTCCCACCCCCAAATAAAAAAGGTAACATGGTATAACCATGTATTGTGTGAATACCCCCAGGCGGGTTCCCTTATCCTATTATGTTGATATTTCTGCAGTGAAACTATTTTTCACTCTAAATGGAATAATAAGAATAATAAATAAACTGTTCATTTATTACCTTTCACCCTTATCCTGGGAAGAATTCCTTTGTCCTGTCCTACCTTATATTCCATTGACTGAATAATATGTATTTCTTGTTCCTGTTTTTTTTTTTTTTTTTTTTGTAAAGCACATTTTCCATTAACATCTTCTGAAAAGTACTTGATAGATAACTTTTTTAGGTCATGCACATTTGAAAACAATCTTCTTTCTTGAGAGTTGAGTTGGTTATGGAATTTTAGTTGGAAATAATGTAAATATTTTGAAGGCATTGCTGCATTGTCTTCTAACTTGCAGAAATGTTGAAATTTCATGTGGATTCTCATTCCTTCTTGGTAACTTTTTCATTTTCTGGAAATTTTTAGGATCTTTTAAAATCTCCCAAGTTTCAGGATGGTGTGCTTTGGTGTGAGGTGAATTTTTTGCAGGGAAAAAGCTTTATTTAAAAAATTATTACTATGCTTTGGCACTTTCCAAGTATTCAAACTACCCACCTATTAGTTTTAGTTTTAGAAATTTTTCTGATTTTTTTTAATTTATATTTTTTCAATTTATTTTCTCTATTCACTTTCCAGCCTTTGAGCCTCCTGGATTAATCCTTTAATTAATTAGCTAACCATTTCTCTTGTGTTTTTGCTCTGCTTTCTGAGATAATCACACACCTTTCTTCCAGTTTGTGCATCAAAGCTTTCATTTATGCTATCATATTTTCAATTCCCATAAGCTTTGCTCTTTCCTAAGTGAAACTTTTATATCCTGTTCTTACTTTATGAATGTAATACTTTTTCTCACCTTTCTGTGAGTACTAATCACAGATTATTTTTACTTCCATATTTTTTTTTTTTACTTTATTTATTTCTTAATCCATCTGCCCAGGTTCCTCCCAGTAGGCATCACAGTTAGCAACTGCCAAGGAAGTAAATGATCTTCCTCCCACTCCCATCACTCCTTCTCCCCAGCCATAATGATCTTGATATTGTTGGAATTCCAGTACACTCCTATCTCAGTACTTTGCCCCAGGCTAAAATCTTGTGTGGCTTGTTCCTCCACATTTTGTTATATGATTTGCTGGTTTATTCTAGATCTCTATTCATTTTGTTGTTGTTGTTTTTGTTTTGGAAAGTTATTATTTTATTTGGGGGGGGTGTTTTGATTTTGTATTTTGGTTTTTGTTTGTTTGCTTGGTTTTGGGCCTGGGGATGGAATCCAGGGTCCCACGCAGGCTAAGCACAACTCTGCCACTGAGCTGTATCCCCAGCTACTCTGTTCAGATTTTGTCTGAGGCAGATTTTGTTAGAAGCTTTCATTGACTGCTTATCTGAAATAGCAGCACCCCTTCTGCACAACACCCATCAGTTTTTCATTGTAAAATAAACATATATTCAGAAAAGTATGTGACATACTTAACAGTTAATTATAAAGTGAACAGTCTTATAATAGGTCTGTGGAAATTGTCACCACCTTAGAAAGCCCCTGTGTTCACCTTTCGCAAATTCTTCTTTTCACTTCCTATCTGCAGCATAGAGTGATCCAGAGTATGTAAAATAAAATTTAAAAATCCATTCTTTGGCAATTATCAAGAATACAAATAATAATAAATGTTGGCAAGGATGTGGGGGAAAAGGTACACTCATACATTGTTCATGGGACCACAAATTAGTGTAGTCACTCTGGAAAGCAGTATGGAGATTCCTCAAAAAACTAGGGATGGAGCCAGCATATAAACCAGGTATCCTACTCCTTGGTATATATCCAAAAGATCTAAAATCTGCATACTATAGAGATGCAGCCATATCAACTTTTATCACAGCACAATTCATAATAGATAAGCTATGGAAACAACCTAGGTACTTGTCAACAAATCTTGCTACCAGCATTTAAGGACTCAAATGGAGTGAATGTGACTATAGGGTCTGAGTTTTTATTTAATCTCGGCTTTTTTGGTGTCCCCTAGTTCAGAACCTTTTGTTTAAGGTTCACAAAAAGCAAACATCTCATCCTTCTTGGAATAGTAAAAGGATCAGTACACAGCTTCTTTTCTCAGTGTGCATATCACATGCCAAATATTGACTTAAGTTTCTTGAGTTATCAGGATTGTTATAACTTAGGTATGTGAGGTAAAAACAAATTGGGAGTGAGATTGAACAGCTGTGTCCTTTGCAGTCAGTTTCTAGTGATTAAAAAGTAATCTATCAAATATTTCATGTGGTAATATAAATGTGAATGTAATTGTAATCTTTTGTTTCCATTTAGATTTTAGGACAACAGATTAATGACTTTACCCTTCCTGATGTGAACCTTATTGGAGAGCATTCTGATGCAGCAGAGCTTGGAAGGATGCTCCAACTCATTTTAGGCTGTGCTGTGAACTGTGAACAGAAGCAAGGTAATTTATATATTAGTGTATATATTTGAAATATTGAAGCAAAGTAATATATACTGTATATTTTATATATAAAGCACAGTACAAACAATATCTCTCAAAGGTCACCTGTTTTCTACAAATTTTTGCTAGTTTTTTTCAATTTTTTTTTTTTAGTTGTAGATATCTTTATTTTATTTATGGATTTTTATGTGGTGCTGAGGATCAAACTTAGTGCCTCACACGTGCTAGGGGAGCTCTCTTCCATTGAGCCACAACCTCACCCCAATTTTTTGCTAGTTTTAGTATTTTTGTTTTGTTTTAGTTTAAGCAAGTTTTAGTAAATTTGGTTGTGGTCCTCTTCTTTCTGTTTCTGAGAGACCACATAATTCTTTTTGAGTAGATTGTTTTGTTGTTTATTTTTTATTTTTGTGGTGCTGGGACTGAAACCCTACCTTGTGCATGCCAAGTATGTGTCTACCACTGAGCTACATACCCATCCTGAGTAGAATGTTTTTAATGTATTTTAACTGCATTGGATATGATGAAATTTATTGTTAATTGGACAAGGTTCACCTATTAGTTTGGAAAGTGAACACRGATGCCCATCAGCAGTTCAGTGGGTATCCATGTCTACCTTCCCAACATAATCTATAATAGATGCCTTAGAGTCGACATTGTCCCACACCCCGCCCTTTTCCCCATACTRTAGTTTGAAATATTTACAAGATTGTCTTTGCTGTGGGGAAAAGAGGAGAGAAGAGTATCATAATATGTTGTCTTTAAATGATAAAAATAGTTTGAAATTCTGTTCCCTCTAAATGTGGTAGATATTCTTCCCCAAGAAATCACTTAAGTCGGTTTTTTAAAGGAAAGAATATTACATATTATCTAGATTGTTTCATCCTACTTACTTATAAGTGATTATAAAACTTTTAGAAACACTATGGGATATTTCTTATTAACCTATCTAGCAAGAAAACTTGAAATTCAAGGGCTTTGGGGGATTGTTTTCACAAAGATGAACAAAGACTTTAAAATAAATTAATGATTTGTATATCAGTGCTAGAAACATCTCACCATATAAATATGAATTATTTTTTATTTTCTTTGTTTCCTTTGTATTGCAATCTAAACTATTGAATTTGAAGTTCCCAGAGCTGAATTTTATCATTTTTATCAAAATATTGGTCAATTTATTAGCTAATTCAGTTTGTAAAATGGCAGTTTAGAAAACATCTCTACTTGAAAGTAGATTAAGAGCATGGGCTGTAATGCCTAATGGGCTGTAATGCCTTGTTTTCAAATTTGATTCCACTTTCAGAAACTATGGAGGGATATTGAGCAAATCACTTAATCTCTGTATTTTAGTTTCTTAATAAAATGAAAATTTAGTACCTACCTCATAAGGTTATTTTGAGGACTCAGGGAGATATGTGCGTAAAACAGTATAGGTTCTTTCACATAAATGGTTCAAATGTTCTTAGTTATGTGGAAACTCTTTTTTCTCTTTTGCAATACTTGGGAGTGAAGCCAGGACCTTGTCATGCTAGGCAAGTGCTATTGAGCTATATCCCCATCCTTTTTTGTTTCTTTTATCTTTTGAGACAATATATCACTGAGTTGCCCAGGCTGTCCTTGAACTTGGTATTCTCCTGCCTTAGTATTTCAAGTAGCTGAGATTACAGGCATACAACCACTATGCCCAATGAAACATAATATTTTATAAAGTATTTTAAAACATTAATTTTGGTTCTATTTTCATTGTGTGTTTTGTAGAGTTTTAGGTTACTACAATTTTTTCAATGATAGTTATCATAAGGTGGTGTTTAGGGATTTATATTCATTTTCTGAATAGTGGAACATAAATTAGTAAATCCACTTACTTAAAGACTACTTTTAGTTAAATTTAGTTCACAAATTTTGTTAGAAAATATAGTACTTTATATGTATAGCAAATCTAAGATGACAGATTTGTTCTTTGCTGAAGATACTTGAAGACCAACTTTGATATGTAGATAACAATGTAATAAATATCTTTTAAAAAATTTTCCAAGTAGCTTTTAAATAGCTTTTCTAATCTTAAATAGCTTTTCTGTCCCCTCTATTGAGAGCTACTTATCTGCATGGAGATCACTTGTTTTCTAAGAAATACTGTCAGGTTTATCATAAATAAAGTGAATAAATAATACCCTCTTCTAATTGATTTATGTCACAAATGTTTATTTTTATGTCACAAATGTTTATTGAACTGATACATTAGGGAATAGGAACACAGTGGTAGATAAAACAGAGACAGTACCTGCCCTATTGGAATGAGAGTAGAGGGAAAAGGCATTAAATAATAACATCAGAATGCTGGTGAGTTCCTCTGAAGACCAAGAACAACCTGGATATGGAGTGAGGAAGCTATTTAAGTAAAGCTGTGGAGGATAATGGGTTAAGTATAATCTAAGTAGTAGAAACTGAATGTAAGAAAGTTACCTTTGAAGGATTTAAAAGCTCCACAAAACTACGATGAAGTATAGTGAGGAACAGATAAAGAGAAACAAAGCAGGGGAATAGGTAGATGAGGGTTATTCTAAACGATGACAATCACAATATTTTTCTTGCCCCTTCCCTCACCTTTGGTAATGCCAAAGAGATCTTTATTAACTTGTTCTTTGTTTTTTTTTTGCGGGTAAGGGTGTTCTAATAGTAAGTTTGATAATAGTCAATGTTGTTTTCTTAAAACAGTGACTACTTTTACTGATCTGATTTAATTTTTTGTTTTTTTTTTTTAACAATGAATTTCTTTCTCTCTAGCTTCATTCCTTTTAGATTTTATCATGACATACTCATAGTAAATTTCAGTTGCTTATTCAGTTTAGCTGAAATATTCTGTAGAGTCATCTACAATCATTTTTTCCTCTGAAATTGTATAAATAATAAAAAAAAAWTTTTTTGAGCGGATTTTAACATCTCACTGATTCAGATTTAGGGTATTCCTTGCTCTCAGGAACATAGTAGAAAACTAGAAATCAAATAAATGAGTTTCAGAATTACTAAGCATTAGCTGTCTCTGTATGTATGATATACAACCCAGGGTTTATTGAAATGGCTCTATCATTTACTACCTGACTCACTTTGGACAAGATCTCAGCCTACTTCCATGTCTGCAAAATGAGTATACAAAATCTCCTAGTCATACAAATATAAGGGCTTTGTGCTTAGACACAGTTTGTAGTTAAGAAGTGAAAAGCAGCTGCTAAGAACTTTGAATATTTGTGCTATCTTGACTAACTTCTTTAATTAGGGCAAATAAAATTGAATTTGTAAAAGTAAAGATTAGTAGAGACACTGATAATATTTACTTAGTATCTCCTTTCTCTCTGGTATTCTCCTATTCATTAAYAGAACAAAAATATGCTTTTTATAGATTAGGAAACTGGGATTCCCAAATATTAAGTGACTTGTCCAAGATTTCTTACTTGTGAGGGGCTAGTCAAGAACAAACACTCATGTTTCTTCCACATTTAAACTTAGTTTAGTACTCTTTGTACTATRTCATGCTGTAAATTTTGGACAGCTTAGATTTTAGTGTAAATTCCCTTATATACTGCACCTCATTCTCCAGCATAACCTCATAGATATGTACCTAATAACTGTATGTAATTGTATTTTGACCTTTAAAGATTTGTAAATGGTTAAAATTGTACATTAATGTAGTTTTCATCATCATTTTATCATTTAGCATTTTACGGTGTTCGCGGGGAAGGGCCTTGACGTGGCAACACCGCTTCTTAACTAACGCTTCCCCTCTCACACCTACTAACTTCCTAACCCTCATCCCACTTTCTTTACTTCCAGTAGGCTGCCATTGAATTTCCCTTTGCCATTATCAGTGCCATGGCTTCTTCTCTTTCATGTTCACAGTCTTCATTTTGAGATCGGGTCAGTCATCTGAGTTTCATTAGTTTTTGTAGTTTGATGCCTTCAAACAGAATATCTAAAGCTCTCCCTTGCTATATCTCTAAACTCATAGGATGATTGTCATTGAGAAAAACAGAAGAAAACATTGATCTCAGACTAAAGGAATTCCTTACTAGCCAAATAGTAATTATGATGTATTCCTCCTCTTGGATTGTGTATGTTTGTATAATGAAACATTTGATTGGGTTCAAGTATCCTTATGAGAATACTTTCATTAAAACACATTTTTAAAAAAATTTTTAGTTATAGGTTGACACAATATCTTTTGTGTTTTTTTTTTATGTGCTGCTGAGGATCGAACCCAGGTGCCTCACGCATGCTAGGTGAGCGCTCTACCTCTGAGCCACAACCCCAGCCCCTAAAACACATTTTTGATAAACTAAAAGCTTTGGCATTGACACCAGAATGTCMTAATGTCATGGTTTAATAGTGTTTTTAAAATGCTTTTTTAAAAACAAGTTGCCTGTCAGGAAGAGGATTACAGTTTAGCATTCCAAATATGAGGGTTTTTATAAATGGATTTTATTTATGAAACCTAGGGTCTTCGAATTTCCAGTTGATAGCTACCKAATGTTTATAGTATTGAGAGAGCACAGTGGTGCAAAGTTCACAGGGTTAGGAGTTAAGTTCATATTTAAGTCTTTGTTCTACACTTTTTGAGGTGGGTGCTCCAGAACTCATGCATTCTAAGCACTCACTCTACCACTGAAATAAATTTCCTGCCTCTGCATTTTTTAAACCTTGGGTAAAGTTTATTTATCCTTGAATAACTTCTATTAGTTTTCAGTTTTTCATCTGCAACAGGAAAGTATTAACATACTTTGCAGAGTTGTTGAGAAGTATTAGAGATAAACTACACATAAGTCCTTACTAATGAATCTCATCAAAAAATTACCTTGACAATTTGACAAGATTCCTTCATATTCTAATTCTAGTGGTGAGAAGATTTCTTTTATATTTGCTTTTTTTGTATATATGGGATTAGAGTGACGAGTGAAGGCTAAAATTTCCTTATTAGTTTACCTTTTAAAATATTTTTTTTTGAAAACATATTTACCATGTTTGTTGGAATCCACCTATTTTTTTAATGCTTAATGCCACTTATCCATTATTATATTTGGAAATAATGAAAAATCACTTCCCGGACTGTTTCTTTTTAAATTTTATATATATATATATATACATATATATAAATATATTTATTTATTTATTTTTATGTGGTGTTGAGGATTGAACCCAGTGCCTCACACATCTATGAGGCAAGTGCTCTACCACTGAGCCATAGCCCTGCTCACTTCCAGGGCTTTTAAGAAGGAAAGAAATTATTGTTTCAATATTGTTGTACTAAGAGCTAAAGAGACCTTTCTTTTTCTGCAGTGGTGAGGATAAGATTGATGAGGTTGCTATTTTAGCATATTAGCAATATTAGACATTATTTTAAAGCCTGGGATTATACAGTATATGTTTCTCTTTTTTTCCCCTTTCACTCATTTATTTATTTTGTTTTCATTGATGTTTTATATACATATATATATGATGGAATTTACTGTGGTATATTTATATATGCACATAACATGCTTTGTTAATTTAATTCTGCATTTCCTCCCCTTTCCTGTCTCTCTTCCCTTTCTTTTGCTCTTCTTCTTCTACTCCACTAATCTTCCCTATATACAATATTTGTTTAACTATACAATTAGATTCTATCTTAAATTCATCTTAATTCTTTGCTAAGCATGTCTTGGGTTTATTAAGTATTTTCTTTTGTGTAGTAGAAAATACTAGTGTAGAAATTAAAAATAATTCAGTGCTTTAATGTTACATGAGAATAAAAGACTTCAGATTTTTTTTAACCATTTAGCAAAGAATAATGTAAAAGATAACTTTTAGATTTTAGTAAAAGTAAGTAAGTAAATAAGTAAATGCCTTAAACTATATGATTTCATTTATTTACATTGACAACATGTAATGCTGATGCTGCATTCCCCTGACGTATAGCTGTAGCATCAGCTTTATAAGAAATGATGTAAGGGGAGAAAATGTCTTCAGGAAAGATAAATACTGCGATTTCAGCCTTTGCTTTACCTATGGCACATATGTGAATACATTAAGCATGTATGAGGGACTCATAGGGAGAATCAAAACAAGAAACTAAGAATTTATGAAGTGTTAGCCTTCATCCCCTTGGCTGTATTTACCTTGAACAGTGACATTCTAGATTGTTCTTGTTTGCAGAGTACATCCAAGCCATTATGATGATGGAGGAATCTGTTCAACATGTTGTCATGACAGCCATTCAAGAGGTATGTTGGAGCTTTGTGGTTAAAGAAGTAGAGATTTTACAAAGTAATTTCTCCTACTCATTTTTAGAGCACTTTTTTTGGCAGTGCTGGGGATTGAACTCAAGAATCTTGCACATCTTGAGCATCATTCTGCCACAGAGCTTTACCCCCAGCCAAGACCTTTCTTCTTTACATTTATGATAGAGCCTGTTTCTTTCTTTTTTGGGGGTGGGGGTACCAGGGATTGAACAACCACTGAATTACCTCCCCAACCCTTTTAAAATATTTTATTTAGAAACAGGCTTTTGCTGAGTTGCTTAATGTCTCCCTAAGTTGCTTTGAATTTGTGATCCTCCTGCCTCAGCCTCCTGTGCTGCTGGGATTACAGGTGTGTACCACCATGCCTGGCCAAGTCTGTTTCATTTTTTATTTAAAAAATCATATGTATTTAAAACTCACATCTATTTAGATTTTAAACATTTATTTTGTAAATATAGTTGCAGCTAATCCTAATTTCTAAAAGTGTCCTTAATGAACTAGGAATAGTAGACTAATTCCTAAAGGTAATAAAAAATCATATCTATGTTAAACCAGCAGTCTACCTCATACTTAACTATCGGTTTTTCTGTTTGGCAAAAAATGGGTCCTCAACTCAAGCTATACTCAAAGCAATTACTATTTGAATATTTATTTTAACTGGAAGTCATAAAAGTACAAATAAATTGATCAGACTAACACCTGGTTAATATCAGGATGTGAGAATGTTTTCAGCCATGGAAGCAATGGAATAAGCCCTGAAAGAAGATAGAAAAYTGTATACAGGACATGAATATGCAAGTAACAGAAAAAATACAAAATGCAAACATGAAAAATGCCAAATGCAAATTTAGATAGTGTTTTTTTGCAATGACTTCTGATACCGACAACTAAGAATTGGGCCCCACTTCAAAGAGGAAGGACATAGCTGTCCACAGACTGCCCTTACTTCAGAGAAGAGCCCCACATTCAGGGATCCCTAGGCTACTCTCCTAACTGACCATCTGGGTTCAAATTTAGGAGTTACCACTATCCTTAAATTTTGTAATTCACTGGAATAACTCAAAACTCAGAAATGTTAATATGTGACAAATGGATACAAATAAAACAAATTAATTTCTGAATTTTTAAGTTTCTGTTAAGCCAGAAAGTATGTAGGATAAGGTCTGGGAGTATCCAAAATGCAAAGTTTCTATTGTCCCTTCTCCAAAGATTCAGGATGTCACCCTTATGGCACATCACTGTGTGACAATACATAGATTATTGTCACCCAGGGAAGCTTATCTGAGCTTTTGTGTCCAGTCTTCAWTAGAATCTCATTACATAATATTATTGATTGAGTAACTTACCATAGGTCTGAAATCCATTTTCAGTCCCTACCTCTCCAGAGGTTAAACTGATATCAAGTGGCTTAAAATCCCAATCTTCTAATCACATGGTGGATCTTCCTGGATGTCCAGCCCCCATCTGTAATCATCCTCTTAGATCACATGAATATAAAGACTCCTTTCAGTAAGAAATCCCAGCAGTTTAGATACCACCTCCCTGGATAGGGGCAAAGACTAGCCAAATTCTTTATTACCTAGGACCTTTCAAAAAACCAAAGCCTTGGGCTGGGGTTGTGGCTCACTGGTTGAGCACTTGCCTAGCATGTATGAAGTAGTAGCATTATAGTAGATTATTTGTTCAATTTTTGTGATAAAATATATGTAACACAAAACTTGCCATCCTACCCACTTTTAAATATAAATTCAATTATAATAAATTTTATTCTCTTATACATTTTGTGGGGAACAGTACTGGGTGGGGATTGAACCCAAGGCCTCATGCATTCTAGGTAAGTGTTCTACCACTGAGTTACACACAAGCCCAATTGTAGTGAATTTTAAGTGCATTAACAGATGCAAATTTATATAGTAAATACAACACAATCAAAACTGTATTTGATTCTCAGAACCACATGTAAATAAATAAGGTCCATCAACAACTAATATTTAAAAAAAAAAAAAAAAAAAGGCAAAGAAGTAGGTCAACCCAGCTGCAATGTTGTGAGCAGCTGGTGTAGCTCCAGCTCCTTGGGAATCTGGGGCAGGATGATGACTTAAGCCCAGGAATTGGAGACCAGCCTGGCATCATAACAAGACCCCATCTCAAAAGATAAATAATAAAAAGTTGATTAGTATGGCATTTAGAACTGATGTTAGGAGTATAAACTGGCAAATCTTTAAAGAAAATGCTATTGTATACCCTTTTATGTCATGTAAGATTAGGTTTGATTATAAATGTTAAAACACCAAAACGATGATGGTCCTGGATTGTTATGAAGACTCTCTAGTCATCAGGGACCCAGCATTCTTCCAGTACATTAGACTTAATAAGGTCTTTGCCATCCATAATACATGATACCCACCTAGTGGTTCAACTGTGGCTTTTTAAGCTTCAGCTTTCACATTTCCAGCCAGCATGAAGGATTAAAGGAAGGGTTTGTATTTCCTTGACATAAACCTGCAGGAATTTCCCCCCTTAGTAACCAGATATCACTCACATAGCCACAGCAGGGAGACTGGGGGATCTGGCCCTTACTCTGGGTGCTAATAGACCCAAGTCAACATGTGCGAATTCTGTTGCTAAGAAAGAGTAGGGAAAATAACAGGGGCCACAAACAATTACTGTAATCCGTCCTTGTAATTCCATATTTAGGAATTCATCAAAAAATATGACATGTAAAGACATGTAAAAATAATTGTAATAATAAGCACTTTCCAGCACCTATTATGTGATAGATAGTGTTGTATTTACTATATAAATTTGCATCTGTTAATGCACTTAAAATTCACTACAATTGGGCTTGTGTGTAACTCATTGGTAGAACACTTACCTAGAATGCATGAGGCCTTGGGTTCAATCCCCACCCAGTACTGTCCCCACAAAAAAGTATAAGAAAATAAAATTTATTATAATTGAATTTATATTTAAAAGTGGGTAGGATGGCAAGTTTTGTGTTACATATATTTTATCACAAAAATTGGACAAATAATCTACTACAATCTTGTGAGATGTTGTCATTTGTCCCATTTTATAAAAGAAAACTGAAGTATAGAGAGTTTGAGTAACTAGCTCAGGTTCACACAGGAAATAGTGACAGAGTTAGAACTCAAATCTAAACAGTCTGAATCTAAGGCTCATGCTTACAGTTGTGCTGTATCGCCTAAAATAGTTATTTCAGTATTATTTCCTAGTACTGAAACATTAGAAATAACCTAACTACTCAACAAAAGGGTAATTGATAAATTAYGGTATATTGGCACATTATGTAGGCATTATGGCATATTTTTTTAAAATAATGACATAGATGAATAATGATATCATAGTTCAGGTTAAAAAAGTTAGATTATAAACCAGGTGTGGTGATGCACCAATAATCCCAGCAACTTGGGAACCTGAGGCAGGAGGATTGCAAGTTTGAGGCCAGCCTTAGCAAATTAATCAAATCCTGTTTAAAAAATTAAAAGTGCTGAGGATGTAGCTCAGTGGTAAAGTGTCCCTAGGTGCAGTCTCTAGGACCATTAAAAAAAAAAAAAAAAAGGTAGAATATAAAGCACACGAAGAATGTGTGATTCCATTTATAAAAAAAATAGGATGAGAGAAAACAAACTTACTCAATTTTAACTTCTCTCTTAAAGGTTGAATATTCTTTACTCTTTGTCTGATTTTACTGTAATAACAGATATTATAACAAGAAATACTTTCTAAATTAAAATCTGTGATCATGTGATTTTCATTCTATGAATCTGTCCCAAGAAATTATTTTAAAATTCAAAGATTGAATACAGTGTTTTTTCAAACTACTTTAAATTAATAGAAATGTGAAAGCAGTATATATTCATTGGTACACTTGTATTTAATTGTGTTACCTTCATCCAATGGAAAATTATGTAATTAATAAAAGTGTGTTTAAAAGGATATCTTATGACTGGAAAAAATTTAAAACATAGTATGAATGAACATATAAAATTAATATACAATAGGATTATAATTAAATTTTCAAAATAAATTATATATTTATTGTATGTGTATTCATTTAGCAAATACTACTTATTGAGTACACAGTATGCACTAGGCACTCTAGTAGATATTATAAATATAACTGAAAGAGATGAAGATGTCCCTTGCCTGTCAAAGGAAAAGAATTAAATAAAAATTCAAATACAGTAAGAAAAGTGCCATGATGGGGGAAAAATATAGGAGTCCTTGTTGAGAGTATCTAACTCAGTTTGAGGACATTAGGTAAGGCTGCCTCTGAGAGGAAGTGAGGCTGAACACTGAAGGATGAGAATGAGATAAGGARGTACAAAATTTTTTTCTAAAGTCCAAAAGTCAAGAAAAACCAAGACCAAATGACATGGGTTGGAGCTATTGAAAGAACAGTGCCTGTAGCAAACATTGTGAGAGAGAAAATGCTCAGAAATAAAATAAGACATACAAGATTATTAGGACACCATGCAGTTTTGTGAAGAGCTATAATTTTGGAAATGAATGAATAGATTCTAAGGAAAAAAATACATTGAGACCAGTAATTGAAAAAAATCTGTGCAATAAGGATGGATTGGGGGAAAACAAAAGTGGAGAAAGGGAGACCAATTAAAAGACCTTAATACTTACTCAGTGAAAACAGATGAAAGCCTATACTAAATTATGGCAGTCAGTGTTAGAAATAAACAGATTTGAAAACTGGTAGACATKTTGATCAATGGAACTTAAGAAGAAGGCTTTTCCCTTTGGACACATTCTGTTTTTATGGTTTCTGATCAGGTGCTACTTTGATTTTTTTTTTAAAYTGTAGTAAAATACACAGGACATATAATTTCCCACTAGTAACATTTAACATATAAACAGTGTTGTACCGATATCACCATTATTTAGTTCAGAACTTTTTCATCATCTCAAAAGGAAACCTAGTACCCATGAAGCAGTCTCTTCATTAAGCACAAACTTCCTCCAGCCCTTGGCAACCAGTTATCTGCTGTCTTGTCTCTATAAACATGCCTATTCTGGATATTTTCTATAAATTGAATCATATCACTTGTGGCCATTTGTGTTTGGTTTCTTTTATTTAACGTGTTTTCAAGGTTTGTTCTAGTATATATCCTTACTTTTCCTTTTTATGACTAAATATTGTTCTGCTATTTGGATATACCACATTTTGTTTATCTGTTCATTGGTTGATGGACATGTGAGTTATTTCCCTCTAATGGCTGTTGTGAATAATGCTGCTGTGGACATGATTGTAAAAGTTTATCTTGAATACATTTTAAAATCTTTTGGATGTTTCCAGATGATGGTCCCTGACTTAAAATGTTCATCAGGGTTTGTTGATTTTAAGATGGCATAGAGAGCCTGTACTTCATCTTTTTCATGAAAATTTTCATCTTTTCCTGGGTAGAGATACGATATTATCCTCTTTTGTGATGCTGGGCAGCAGTAGTCATCTATTCCCAGTCAGCCACAAGATCACAAGGGCAAACAAACCGTGGATATTCCATAGAGTACTCTGTTGCTAAGTTAGGATGTTCAGTAAGCTAAGAATATTAAATGAATTTTTGATGTAACAAAATGTGGCTTATTAGGACATAACTGTAGTGTAAGTTGAGGAGTATCTGTATCCTGAAATGGAATTGCTGGATCATGTGGTAATTCTATGTTTAATTACATGAGGAACTTCAAAAGTGTTTTCTTCTACAGCTGTATCATTTTGCATTTCCACCAGTAATGCAGGAGGCTTCTGATTTCTTTACAGCTTGGTCAACCTTTGTTATCATCCATCTTTGTAATAATAGCCTCAAAACGTACATGAATAGTATCTTATTGCTTTGCTTTTGATTTCCATAATGACATTATATTGAGCATTTTTCATGTGTTTGTTGTAGTATCTTTTGGAAGAAATATCTGTTCAAGTAAATGATCATCTTTTAGCCACTTAAATGCTAATAAGCCCCAAGAAAGAGAAAGACAGATGTTGTGATATAAGAAAGAGGACTGATAAATGGAATAGGGTCTCTAAGAAGACCTGTTCTTAGAGGCTTATTCTGCCACTTGTGCTCTCAATTCCATTCCTTCCAGCTTCTTAGCTGGAAGGTAAACTAGAGAAGATAATTGATAAAACAAATGACAAACATGGATTCTAAAGTGGAAAAGGAAAATCCCCAAAATAAGATGACAATGTTAGTAGAAGAAAGAGAAGTAAACTTTAGCCAGGCAAAACCAATAGTGTTCACTGCAGTTTCTAAGCAAAGTAAGGAACAAAGTGAATACAAGAATGATGGGCTAAGACTTGAAACACGGAAAAGGTGAGAAGAGGGATAGGACCTAGGAGCTCAGTGAAGCTGAGGAACAACTGAATGAAAGATTGACAGTGTTCAGAGTGGGATATTTAACTTTTTAACTTTTTATTGAGAGGTGTTATAATAAGGACCAAAATACAACAAGGGGCAAAAAGGAGAAAAGACTGAAAAAAATAATTTCCTGCTCCCTGCTCCTACCCACCTCTGAATTACAGAATTCTCTTAATATCTTGCCACTGCCTTTATCATACTATACTGTATTTACCGATTTATGTTTCTTTCTTGAATTCTGCTAGACCCATGGTTGTCAAACAGAGCTAATTTTTAAGTATGTCAAAATTATAAAAGTTATTTTTTCCAGATGGTAGAGATCTTTTTCATTATATTTTTTCTTCTCTACAATGAGTACCATTTTTTTCAATTTGAAGAAAAGTCTTTTTAAAAATCTTACTATTAATATACTCAACTAAAGCATAAAAATTGAAGCTGGTATTTTTCACTTTCTTGAGATTTCCCCCCCTATTGTGTTAAAGGACTTTCATTCTCTTCTCATTAGTGAGTTGGAGCAGTGATTCTCAAGCTCCAATGTGCTTCAGATCACCTGGAGTACTTATTGAACTGTCCTCAGGCTAACCCTAGATGTTCTGACTCAGTGAACCTGGATGGGGCCCAAGAATTCATATTTCTGACACGAGACCAAGCAGTGCTAATACTGTTGGTCTGGGGATCTCATGTTGAGAAGTGCTGATGTTACTGAACATAACATTTCAGTTCTCTAGAGAGCAGAGTGAAGGATGAAATCACAAGATCTCTTGATATTAAATCCCCACATTTCTAATTGTCCCTCCCCCTTTTGTCCTTCAGACGAAACATGAGAAATCATAGAAGACTGGGGCTGTTTGAGTCTGCCCCTTTTATTTGTCATGGTCAGAATTTTATCCCTTTCTCCCAACCTTTCAGACATGCTTTGAATCTTCTCTTTGCAATGCAAGGCTGAGAGAAGCAAAGATTTAGGGGAATACTAGTGTGTGAATGTAAGTGCTATATTGACATTGTCCACATTTATTCTTTAGAATTAAGTTGATGCTTAATACCACTATTTTTACTGAAAGTCACTGTTTTTAAATTTCTAGCCACATTTTAAACTTTACTATTTGTCTGTTCAGTGATAAAAAAATGTTATACTTGATTCTTGGCTGAGGCTTATAGTGAAAATGAGCACCTGAATTTAGACCTCTTATATTAAATGAAGGTATTATTCTGGAGTAAAGAAAAATTTCAAACTCTGAAGTATTATTTACAGGAAATTATTTCATTTACTTTTGTGTTTTCATTTTAATTTTTATATTTCAGTAGTGGCTAGGTATTTATTTATTTGTTGTGTAAGTATATTATGTAGACTGTCTTTTTTTGCCTCACTTTTATAATAATTTAAATCTTAATTTCAGCTAATGAGTAAAGAGTCTCCTGTCTCTTCTGGGAATGATGCCTATGTTGACCTTGATCGCCAGGTATATAATTTGGCCTTATTTGTATTCATGCAAAATTAAAAAGGGTAAAGTTTAGATATTAATGAGAAGCTCTTTTAGTTGAAATTGCTTATGGAATATATTTGTATAATTTTTTATATTTTACCTAAAATTTAAGAACTTAAAATGTTTTGTGAATTGACACCATTTGTAAATTTTTTTCATTCCCCAGTACCTCACCTTTCTGTCCCCTCTGTTGTCCTTATCTCCCCCTTCCTTTTTTAAATTTGTTCTAATTAGTTATACATAACAGTACAATGCATTTTGACACATTGTACACGAATAGAGCACAACTTCTCATTCCTCTGGCTGTACAGAGTCACACCAGTAGTGTAATCATACATATATGTACAGTATTATAATGTTTTTCTCATTCTACTGTCCTGTTTGTAATTTTAATTAAAGTATTATTGCATAACCCACTGAAAACTATTTTCTTTAACTTATTGTAATTCCTGTTTTCTAGTCATGATTTTTTTCTTTTCCCCTTAGTTTGGTCACATGAAATAGAGAGAAAATCTTACCTTAAGGAAAATTTTCAATACTTTGCTAATTTATACTTTGTAATAATAATGGGATACAACTTGGAAATGTTTGAGAATTAGAATAATAAAAATCCTTTGTTAAAAAAAGGGTGCAGTACAAATTAGCATAAAAGTTTAATATGATGGAAAAACTTGTGTTAAAACTATTTATTTTAACAGTTGAAACTTCCATTCCTCTATGAGATGTTTTATCAAGGTAAAACTTCTCAGCTCTTAAAAGAACCAACATTACCAAGAACCAAATATTCCAGACAGGAGAAAATGTGAAAGAAAACTTGACATGGAGAAAGAGCCAAGTTCAGAGAATAGAAAAGATAAGACTTAGGACTAAAAGAAATTCAAAGCTAGAAGTACCTTCTTTTGAATCTTAAAAGATGGTTTTTGATTTCCCCTTGTACTTTTCCCCAAGAAATAAAAGAGAAGAACGTTTTAATTCTATGTTGCATAAAATAATTATTGTTTTCATCTTATATTGAAATAGTTATCATATCTTTGTTTCTAACCAGTTGAAGAAAACTACAGAAGAATTAAATGAAGCTTTGTCAGCAAAGGAAGAAATTGCTCAAAGATGCCATGAATTAGATATGCAGGTAGGTGGTCTGTTCTGTGTACCACCAAATGTTTTGTGTACTGCTGTGTAGTACAGTTTGAATATAATACAATTGTAATTAAATGAAAAAGGAAAAAAAACATGTTTCTGGTTAAGGATAATAGACTCAACAAACATGTTCGTTTTCTTTCTTTTTTGCAACCCCATTAAATTTATAATATTTACAAGTAAATTAAAATGATATGAACCTCTGAGGAAGAAAGAGTAGTGATATCAGCATCCATGAGTCTTCATGGTGTGCTAGTAAATTGGATTTCAGGAGGGTTGGGGAGATTTTTAAAGCCTGGATTTATAGTGTTTGCCAATTTCTGAATTCAAGTTTCTGATGGTTTAACRGCTAGTTTACAAGATCTTAAATATTTAATAGTCACCTTGAGTGTAGCCAGCTCTGAGACACATTCTTCATCAACATCTGAAAGTCAAAAGACAGTTGAAAAGTGCYAAATGGATAAAAAGAGCAAAAAATGCAGTGACCAAAAATATTTGTGAGGAGCTGCTATAACAACAGAACACCAAATAGACCAGATGTGGCAGAAGACTGATGTGAGGCTCTAACTAGATATGTAAAAGGGTTAAACTTCTTGCATCATGTTACCCACTCCACAAATTGATATAATCTAGCATAAATGGTATCTAAAATTGATAGATCAAGAAATACTGATACATTCATATATTTAGAGAGATAAGCAAAATCCAAAGCAGAAACTTGGGAATAGTGAAAATTAGTCTCTGGGGAATGAGAAAATTCAGTAGGAAACTGTGAGTTTATTATAAGCTCCTTTGTCATGTTTTTTCTTAAATAAATCATGTTTAAGTTTTTTTAAATTAGTAACTTTTTTTTCTGTGCATATATAAGGATGTCTGCCATAGATACTAAATTAAAATGTTTTAGCAGCATTAGCTTGTTGTAGTTTATTTAGTTGTTTACTTTTGCAGTATTGGATCAAACTGAGGGCCTCACACGTTTGGTAACACTCTATCGCTGACCTATATTCCCAGCCCCATAGTTGGTCTGATAATTCTAATATTAAGRTTTTTTTGTTCAACACTCAGCCTTCACATAAATTTACCACATCCCAGATRGTATGTCAATTCTCAGAAAAATTGAAAGAATCTGTGATATGTATTATGGTCTCTGATCACCATACAGTTAAAGTTGGAATGCAATAGCAAAAAATATGTTTAAAAAACATACAGCTTTCAATATTTATTTTAACTATGAAAATAGAAATAGTAGAAAAGAATGAAATAGATCAGGAATATAGAGTAGATCCTAGAAAGACTAATGTGGTTTTAGAAATTAGACAAATTATACAACTGACATTTCATATTCTTTCATTTAACCAACAACATTTGCCAAGCACCCACTACATTTCTTGTACTGTTCTAGTTGCTTTAGATAAAATAAAGATGGGGGAATAGAAACAGATGAAACATCCCTCCTCAAGGTGCTTCTATTCTAAGATAGCTGATAAACAAGATAAAAATACACTAAGTTATCTGGGCATGGTGGCGTGTGCCCATAATCCCAGCAGCTCTGGAGGCTGAGACAGGAGAATTGTGAGTTCAAAGCTAGCCTCAGCAAGGGTGAGGTGCTAAGCAACTCAGTAAGACACTGCCTCTAAATAAAGTACAAAATAGGGTTGGGGATGTGGCTCAGTGGTTGAGTGCCCCTGAGTTCAATCTCCAGTAATCCCCCCACCCCAAATACAGTAAATTATGTGGTGATAAGCATTCTAGAGAAGAATAAAGCAGGGAATGTAAAATAAGGAATACAGAGTCCAGAAAATTTAATTTTTAATTGGGTCAACCCAGGCCCACCTTGAGAGAGTGATGAGTTAGTTAAATCCCAAAGAGATTAGGGGAGCAAGCCTACCATATTTCCAGGGGGGAATACAAGCTAAGGGCCATGGAAAAGGCAAAGGATCTGAGATAGGAGTGAAGTAGTGTATTAAAGAGATAGGAAGGGCTGGGGATATAGATCAGTTGGTATAGAGTGCTTGCCTTGCATGCACAAGGCCCTGGGTTCGATCCCCAGCACCACCCAAAAAAAAAAAAAAGAGATAGTAAGATGAAAATGATAACAGAAGAAGGGAGAAAATAGGAAAAGGCAGTTAGTCCAGAGAGGCCTTAATATATTTCTTTATAAAAAGTGACATGGGTAGCCAGCCATTGAAGGATTTTGAGCAAAGTAGTCATGGGATTGAGTTGTGTTTTACGCTTAGTTGGCTCAGAGACCAACTAAGAGGCCACTGCAATAAGGCAAAAAATTATATTGACTTTGATCTGTATGTTAGAGATGCTGAGAGGTGACCACAATAGATTTTTTGAGGTAGAGCAAATGTTAAATTTGCTGATAGATTGGATTTGAGTGTGAAAAAGATGTTAAGGATGATAGCTGAGCAATTGGAAGGAGGGAGTTACCATTTAGTAAAACGAGAAAGACTACTGGCAAACTAGGTGATGGTGGGTATTAATCAAGAATTCCATTTAGGAGCCAGGCATGGTGTCACACCTGTAATCCCAGTTACACAGGTGGCTGAAGGAGGATTTAAGTTTGAGGACAGCCTGGGCAACTTACACCATGTCTCAAAATAAATTTTTTTAAAAAGAGCTAGGGATGTAGCTCAGTAATAGAACACTTGCCTAGCATGCAGTGAGGTGCTGGGTTCAATCCCCATATCCCACACACACATTCCATTTGGGCAAAGATTATTTTGAATAAGACCTCAAAAGCACAAGCAACAAAAGCAAAATTAGACAAATAGGACTATACCGAACTGAAAAGCTTCTGCACAGTAAAGAAAATAATCAGCAGAGTGAAAAAACAACCTATGGATTGAGAGAAAATATTTACAAACTATTCATCCAATAAGGCATGAAGAGGAATAAGGAGGGACTGGGGATGTGGCTCAAGTGGTAGCATGCTCGCCTGGCATGCGCAGGGCGCTGGGTTCGATCCCTAGCACCACATAAAATAAAGATCTTGTGTCCACCAAAAACTAAAAAATAAATATTAAAAAAAAGGAATAAGGAATTCAATCCAACAACAGCAACAATAATAATAATCTGATTACAAAATGGGCAAATGATCCTAATAGATATTTCTAAAAAAAAAATACAAATGATCCACAATTTATACAAAAATACTCAACATCACTAATTATCAGATAAGTGCAAATCAAGATCACAGTAAGAAAGACTGTTATCAATAACCCTTTTGAATCAAATTGTGAAATATGATATATCAAGAAAGATGTAATGTTTTGAACGACCAACAATAAAAAATAAATAAATAAATAAAATAAAAATAAAAATAAAAAAGACAAATGATAGCCAGGTATGGTGGCTGGCACATACCTGGAATCTCAGCAACTCAGAAGGCTTAAGCAGAATGATTGTGAGTTCAAAGCCAACCTTAGCAAATCAGCAACCCCCTAAGCAAATTAGTGAGACTCTGTCTCAAAATAAAAAGGGCTAAGGGTGTGGCTCAGTGATAACTACACTTGGGTTCAATCCCTAGGTATCCACAAAATAAAAGACCAAAGATAAAAAGTAGAACTGCCACATGATCCAGCAATCCTACTACAGGGTGTATGTTCAAAGGAAATGAAATGAGCTTCACTAGTTACAAATAGCCAAGAAATAGTAACCTTATTAGTGTCCATCAACTGATGACTAGATAATGAAAATGTAGTACATATACACAATGGAATACTAGTCGGCCATAAAAAGGATAAAATCCTTTTTGTCAGAAAATCATTATATTAAGCAAAATGAGCCAAGTATAGAAAGACAAGTACCACATGATTGCATGTGAAAGCTAAAATAATCAATCCCAGAGGCCAGGAAGGGAGGAGAGGATAGAGAAAGGTTGTTTAATGATACAAAATATACAGTTATATAGGAGGTTTAAGTTCTAGTGTTCTGTAGCCTATTATGCTATGTTGACTATGGTCAACAATAATTCGTTGTATATTTCAAAACAGCTAGAAGAAAAAATTTTGAATATTTCCAATATAGAGAAATGATAAATGTTTAAGATGGTACATGTAATTATCCTAGTTGTTCATTATACATTCATATATCAAAACATCACACTGTAGTCCATGAAAATATACAATTATTATGTATTAATATTAAAAGATTTTTAGGGGCTGGGGTTATGGCTGAGCTGTAGAGTGCTCGCCTCACACGTTCAAGTCCCTGGGTTCGATCCTCAGCACCACATATAAATAAATAAAATAAAGTTATTGTGTCCAACTACAACTATAAAAATAAATATTAAAAAAATGATGTTTAAAAGTTCTATTTGTAAAATTTTAATTGGAGATTGCTAGTAGACATACGAATAGAAATGATTCCAGTTCAGGGTTCTAGACTAGAAATAGAAATATGTCAGTTGTCAGAAAATAGATGGGGCTTATAGCCATGAAACCTGAAGCCATTACTATATTTAGAAAAGATAAGCTGTAGGCACTATTAGGGAAATTGAGAAGAATAGAATCCAAAAGAATGAAGCCAAATGATATAAGTGCTTCAAGAAGGATAACCAATTGTGTCAAATGTTGACTTAGTGACTTGGGGGTCAGTGATCCTGATGAACAGTAGAGTGATAGGGCCAATAGCCCAACTGGAATAAGTTAAAGAGAAAATGGATAAATAAATAAATGTACCTGTCAAAATTTACAAAAGAAAATGGGGGATTGTAGTAGGACTGGAATATAGCTCAGTGGTAGRGTACCTGTGTGTGCAAGACCCTGGGTTCAATTTCCAGCACCACACATGTATACTTTTTTAAAAAACAAAACAAAATAGGCGGAAGAAAGAAAAAAGTAAAAACATCAGGCAACTTATGTTTATTACTGGGGATTATATCCACTGACACTTTACTACTGAACTATATTCCTAGCCCTTTTTAAAATTTTTTGAGATAGGGTCTAATTTGCTTAGGGCCTTCCTAAATTGCTGAGGCTGACTTCAAACTTGAGATCCTCCTGCTTTCAGGTTCCAGGTTGCTGGGATTTAGATGTGCACCACTATTCCCAGCTTTTTATGACTATAAATCCCCTTCAGTTCCTAGGTCTGCATTCTGAAACTACAGATTAGCTAATATCTTCTAGAATTATATTAATAGGAATCACACATGTTCCTATGTTATGTTCTCTTTTGGTCTGGTTTTTGTTGTTGTTTGTTTGTTTGTTTTCAGTATTTCATGTTATCATTATCAATGGGAACTTTTATTGCCAAAAAGTTACCTGTACAGTGGATATACTCTAATGTATTTATCAATTTACTTATTGATAAATGTTCGGGTTATTTCCAGTGTTTCTCTATTACAAGTGAAACTGGCAAAATCTTTTTAAGACTGGGGCTGTGTCTCAGCAGTAGAGTACTTGCCTCGCATGTGTGAGGCACTGAGTTCGATTCTCAGCACCACATGTAGATAAATTTTTTTAAAAAAAGGTCTATCAACAACTAAAAAAAATTTAAAAAAAACTTTTTAAGTTATTGTGTGGGCATATGCTTTTACTTCTCTTTGAGTAAATGCCTAGGAGTGGAATGGCTAGATAATTTACATGGTAGTTACATGTGTAGTTTTTTGAGACTGCTGACCTGTTTTCCAAAGTGTTTGAAATAGTTTATAGTCTCATCAGTGATACCTTTTATTCTTACCTTCACCAATACTTGGTACAGTCTTTTAAATTTTAGCCACTTTAGTAATAACATTTTAGTGTGACTTTTCATTTCTTTGGTGACTCATGATGATTATCTTTCTGTGTTTGCCCTCTATCTTTGTTGAATATCTTTTCAAATACAAAATAAAGCCAGATGTGGTGGTGCATAGCTGTAAGCCAAGCTACTTAGAAGGCTGAGGCAGGAGCACTGCTTGAGCCCAGAAAGTTGAGGTGCCTGGGTAGTGTAGTCAGACCCATATCTCAAAATAATAAATAAATAAGAAATAAAAAATTAATTCTTATCTACTTGTACATATTGTTCTATGTGAAAAATATTCCAAAATAATGCAAATGTTTTAAATGGAAATTAACTGTATTCTTTAAAGTAGGGTTTGATTCATAATAGTAATTCACAGGAGACTGAACTGACGCAGTGTAATTGAAGGAAATAATTGCTGTCTTCTGTATTTCAACAGGTTGCAGCATTGCAAGAGGAGAAAAGTAGTTTATTGGCAGAGAATCAGATATTAATGGAAAGACTCAATCAATCTGATTCCATAGAAGATCCCAACAGTCCAGCAGGAAGAAGGCATTTGCAACTCCAAACTCAATTAGAACAACTACAAGAAGAAACATTCAGGTAAAAGACCACTCATTAAACTTGAATTTTAAAAAATTTTGTAACTGTCACTTAATGGTTAGGAATATAGTATTAGGACTAATGGTTAACTGCAGACCGAGACAAAGGTGTGTAATAAATAACTTCCTCAGATCTTTCCATACAAGTTATGTGACATAACTTCACATCTAGGATGAATTGTATCAAATATTTAATATTTCTTCATGACAGAATGCTCCACCTGCAAAATAACGGTGAAAAAAAGAAAGAAACCAAACACCAACCCTTCATTCCATACATCTGTCCCACCCCCACTATAGTGTTGTAGTAAGCAAAGGCAGACCACGAACAAATTAGAGGAAGACAGGAAGAATGCTAGTGAAGGGATATGAGATGAGTTGGCATACTCCTGTAGTCCTAGATAATAGAGAGACTGAGGCAGGACAGTCATTAGACCAGCATGGGCAACCTAATGAGACCCCCTTCTCAAAAAAGAGAAGAAAAAAATAGGCAAGGTGAGTTGGAGCAATCATCAGAAAAATTAAATTCATTCAAAACTAAAATTCCTTTTAAAAAAACAACAGATAACTGGGCAGAGTGAACCACAGATTGCCTGATAGGAATTTCAAAGTAAATTCATTTTTGTAAAGAGCCAGATTCGGTAAAAGGATACAGAAGGAAATTTTAAAGAGACACAATATGCACAGGCATACAATTTAAAGAGATAATACAAAGACCTAGGGCATGATTTAAGAGATAAGTTTATTTTAAAAGACAAGCTGATTTAAAACAATAGGTACAATTTAAAGGAACCATCTTTCAAACACATCTTCTGGAGAAGTAAAAGGCCAAAAGGGAAAGGGAAAAGAGAATCAGGAAATTTTGATATGCTTTAAGATGAAATAGAAGCACAAAATTGAAGGTCTTAGCAGCATTATGAAAATATTTTGTCATGGTTTACTAAAAAATATATTATGACCTATTTCTTAACTGGCTATAGATTTCCATTGCTAAAACAGAAAAATTATACTTTTTGTTTTTTTTTGGTATCAGAGTTTGAACCCAAGGGTACTTAACCACTGAGCCACATCCCCAGCCATATATATATATATATATATATATATATATATAAATTTTTTTTTTTTTTTTTTGAGACAGGGGTTTGCTGAGTTACTTAGGGCCTCAGCCTCATTACAGGCATGCACCACCGCACCTGGAGAAATTAATTTGGTTTTTACTTTCCAAGTAGCTTAATTTAGAAATATACCTACTGTCCTTCATTATTTCTAAATGAAATGTTTCTGAATTTTCTTCTTTTTTTTTCTCTAACAGAAGACAATAAAAAGCTTTCCTTAGTCCTCTTGGAAACCTTTGAAACAATCCATTCCTTATTGCCTTTACCAGCAATTCCAAATGGGATCTGAGGACCCTGAAGGTTCTTTGAGACTGTTTTAGAATGCATAAGGCTCTCTCTTTTCTGACTACATACTTGTGCAAGCCTGGATTTTCCTCATGTATTTCATTGAAAAACATCACAACAGATGAATATAGAAACGGTTATTAGAACCCAACTTTCTTCTGTAAAACCAGATATTTCAGTTATGTAAATAGTGTTAACCTTCATTTTTTTTTGTTTCATAAAAATGTAATTTTTTTCATAAACAATATGTTTGTATTAACATAATGGGCTTATTACTGTTATTTTCAAATGAACTAAGTAAATAGACTTAAATGTTTTAATTATTGATATGACAAATAGCAATAGATAAAACCTACATAATTTAAAAAATATTTTTAGTTATAGATGGACACAATACCTTTATTTTATTTATTTATTTTTATGTGGTACTGAGTAAGGATCGAACCCAGAGCCTTACAAATGCTAGGCAAGTGCTCTACCACTGAGCTATAGCCCTAGTCCCTAACTAAAGGTTCTTTAGGGTTTTCAGTAATTGTAAGAATATGAAGGGATCCTGAAACCAAAATGTTTGAGAACCCTATATCTTGACCTCCTAAGACAAAAATCCATGAATAATAAAATATAACTTTACCCTTTTATTTCTAAATTGTGGCTAATTTTCCAGTTATAGTTTAGGGAAATTACATTTTCATTATTAAGGAAATCATGTTTAAAGTTTTGTTGATCCAGAATACATATTCATAATAATATATTTTGAAGTGCCTTAAAAACTCAAATATTTGATCAGTACTATATTTCTCAAGGATTTTTGTTGTTGTTGTTAAATATCCTTGTAAAGTCAGATATATTTGTCCCACTTTCTTAGCTAACTAATGGTACGGTAAACATACACAAGTAACACAAATGAAGATCTAAATATATAAAATGTGTGATATGATAACATTTTCTAATCAATAAGGAAAGTTTAGATTGTTTGTTTATGGCTTGGCATAKTTATTTTGGCAGAAGTTAGATTCCAGCATTGCATCATAGGCAAAATGAATTAAAAACTTTAATGTTAGAAATGAAACCATTGAAAATGTAATAGGGGACAGACAGGAAGGACACCAAATAGGAAACAGGAAGCAGGTTTCTTTTGCTGCAGCCCGGTTAAGAGGGAAATTAATCCCCTGAACCCTTAGTTCAGGCCATTTCAGAACTTTATACCTATTGTGTAAGGGAAGGGGCTCAGARGTTCACAGTCTGCAGAAGTTCACACAAAAACAGCTTTTTCTTTCACTGTTCTGGGCAAGTTAACCCTTCAAGGACAGTGCCTGAGAAGGGGAGAGTTTATTTTCCCCCTTCTTCCCTCCCACTGCCACCTGTTACCATGGATTCCAATTAGTAACTACTTCTCTTTGAAATGTAAACATCTCTGTGAAGCTCTGGCTCAAGGCCAGAGGCCTTGTTAAAGGATCTTTCTTATCACACTTTGCATTTGCAAACACACTTGTACAAACATATATATAAATTTTTTAAATTTTTATTTTTTTGCTTATACTAGATATTTCATAAATATTTGTGAAAAACTGGTAAAGGTGCATTGATCTCTTCCAGGCCGGTGGGCACATAGATAGTGCAACAGGAACTAGGAAGTTTAACTACATTGAACTCTTGTAGAGACTCTTCTACTTATAGACTAAGATTAATTATGGTGAAGATTTCTGGAGAAGCTTAATTAAGATTTTCTGTGGAGGAGGAAGTGCCATTACAGAAGTACTCACAGAAAATGTAGAGTTAAAATAAAGAAAGTTTATACACTAAAAGTAAAAACTGAAGTTCCAATCAGTTGAAATGCATAAAAATTAGGACTTATGTATGTATTTTTTAAATACTTATATATAATTTTAAATAAAATTAAAAGTCACTAATTGCATAAAATACTTGCAATAGGAGAGAGAAGAGCATTATAAATCAAAGAAAGGGGTTGGGGTTGTGGCTTAGCAGTAGAGTGCTCACCTAGCATGGGTTCAATTCTCAGCACCATATAAAGATAAATAAGTAAAATAAAGGTACTGTGTCCAACTACACTAAAAAAATAAATATTAAAAAAAGTTAAAGAAAGGATATATGTTAAGTAAATAAGTCTAGTTAATTACAAGTAGAAATAGTATTAATGATTTTTTTTAAACATGAGAATGAAAGATGCGCTCCCAAAATGTTAAACAATAGTTATTTGGATTAATACGTGGTATTAATTTTCTTTGCTTTTCTGTATTTTGCAAATTTCAGAAAGAAATATATATTAATTTCATAATTAGAAAATAAAACCTTAGAGGTGGGGGTGTGACTCAGCAGTAGAGTGGTTGCCTAGTATGCATAAGACCCAGTATTTGGGGGAAGCATTCTTTGATGTCTAGCTTTCTGACAATGGAGGATTGGTCACAAGTTGTCACTTTTTTCAAGTGTGGAACACTGGAATCAACTTTAATAATAGATACGATTTAGGAATACAGCTTTTGGCCACAAAAATCACAGACATGTTAAAGAGTTTATTTTTATGTTTTCTCTTCTTTTATTGTTCCAAAGAGAATTCTGAGACAGTAAATAGTGCTTTCTTGATCTATTTTATTCTGGTTACAGACTAGAAGCAGCCAAAGATGATTATCGAATACGCTGTGAAGAGTTAGAAAAGGAAATCTCTGAACTTCGGCAACAGAATGATGAATTAACTACTTTGGCAGATGAAGCTCAGTCTCTAAAAGATGAAATAGATGTTCTTAGGTAAACAATCTTTTGTGTAATTTCAGACCCATCAGTTCTGTGTGTGTGTCTGTCTGTGTGTGTGTCTCTCTCTCTCTCTCTCTCTCTCTCTCTCTCTCTCTCTCTCTCTCTTTAACAAACTCTTGAATCTCTTAGCACACCTCAGTGTGTTTTAAGAGTCATACTACCTGGGTTCATATCCTACAGCTGCCACTTATTTAACCTCTATATTTTCTCAGCTATAAAATGGAAGTAATATACATACTTACCTCAGTTTTATATGAAGAGTTAAATGAGCTTATCTCTTGAAATGCTATCTGGCAAATCAGTCCTCCTGCCTGTTAAATAGAAGTTAATCTGACCATCATTTCACACTTTTCTAGCTCGGGAACATTTTTTTCTTATTACCCATATTCTTTAATTCTGAGCCCTCCAGGCACTTGATCTTTTTTTTTTTCTTGGATGCTGGCACATGTTGCAGGGCTTCATTTCCTTCATGGACATTTTCACATTCACTTCAGTTATTCTCTTATTGATACTTCACCACCTGCCACCTCAGTAGTCTACCATTCTGTTTCTTGTATAATCTCCAGTTATCTGTTGAATCATTCCWGTCATTTCTGTTTTCTGCTTCAGTTCTTTGAATACTGAGAATGAACAGAGAAAATTACATAGATAGTTTTGTCTAACTACAAATTAATGGTCTTTACTCTTCACTTATTATATCTGCAGTATTTTGGGGAAAAGTTTCTTACTCTAGGTCCACCATTTCACTATTAACCAGTACTTAGTCCTGTATCCCATTTCTCTCATAGTTGTTTGTTGTTTTTATAACTCTTTCACCTGTCCCCTCCATGCCTTAATCTCAGTAAATGACCTTGTCTCCTACTGCTCAGAAAAAAGAGATTATGAACTGTTGAACTCTCCCATGCTCTTTGTCTCTAGAACCTCTAAATTTTCTGAGTTTCATCATTTTTCTGTTGCTTGTAGAGTGTAGACCTCTACTCTTCCTCCTGTCCAGCACTAATTCATTTTTCAGTATGTCAGTCTCAAACCTTCGTGCTAATGTAGGGTCTGTGTTATATCAATTATCATTTTTCTTTGCATCTTGAGTCTCGCTTCTTCACAAACACGCACACACATTTTTTTTTTTTTTTTTTTTTTACATTTAGGTCTCTTTAATTTTAAAAAGAAAGAAAAAGAAAGATTTATTATTCCTTCCTTCCTTCTAAAACTAAAATTATGTAAGAAAAATTTATATTCTCAGCTGGGGTTATAGTTCAGTATTGTAGCACTCAGCCTAATATGCATGAGACATTGTGTTCAGTCTCTAGCACCACATACACACATATACACACAAATTACATTTTCCTTTTAGTTTCTACAATTTGCCACTGTCTATCTACTATTTTTTCCACTAAAACCTCTGTTCCTATGATCACTCATGACTCATGCCTAACAACTTACTTTACTTTTGTACTAAATGTGATTTTGCTGACTGTCCCCTGCTGCTTTCCTTGAATTGTATAACATTCTAAACAATATATTTTTCTGTCATTTTGGACATTTTTACAAAATCTGAGCAAAAAATTATTCTGAAATCACTTTTGGTATCATAATTTCATTAGAATGTGTTGTTGCCTGATAATGCCTAGTAATCTTTCTTGGTTTAACGTTGTCTAAAGATCTTAGCAGCCGTGTGTATATTTCTGATTTTTAATTTCTATCTTATTCTAGACATTCTTCTGATAAAGTATCTAAACTAGAAGGTCAAGTGGAATCTTATAAAAAGAAGCTGGAAGACCTTGGTGATTTGAGGCGGCAGGTTAAACTCTTAGAAGAGAAGAATACCATGTATATGCAGAACACTGTCAGTCTAGAGGAAGAGTTAAGAAAGGCCAATGCAGCACGAAGTCAACTTGAGACGTATAAGAGACAGGTAAAAGAACAGAAACAACTTTYCTCATGATGGTTTTAAACAAGCTGTCTACTAGGACATATAGTTTATCAAAACCACTAACTTTTGTTTTTACAGTTTTTAATCTTTTCTTTATTATATTTTTTTATATTTAAAGAACTTTAAATATAATTCTTTTGGGGGGGTACCAGGGATTGAACTCAGGGGCACTTGGCCACTGAGCAACATCCCCAGCCCTATTTTGTGATTTTCTTAGAGACAGGGTCTCACTGAGTTGCTTATCGCTTCACTGTTGCTGAGTCTACCTTTGAACTTGCAATTCTCATGTCTCAGCCTCCTGAGCTGTTGCATTAAAAGTGTGCACCACCATGCCCAGCTAAATATAATTTTTATCCAGAGGATTTCGATTGGTCTCTAAAGCAACTCTCCCCCACTTTTTTTAATTTTTAAAATTTAATATGGAATACTTGAGAAATACACAACAGGGCTAGGTGTGATGGTATGCTTCTGTAGTCCCTCTACTAAGAAAGAAGGCTGATGCAGGAGGATCACTTGAGGCCAGCCTAGATAGATAACACAGTTGAGACCCTGTCTAAAGGTGGGTGTGGTGGCACATGCCTCTAATCCCAGAGGCTCTGGAGTCTGAGGCAGGAGGTTTGCAAGTTCAAAGCCAACCTCAGCAACGTAGCAAAGCCCTGTCTCAAAATAAAATATAAAAGGGCTGAGGATGTATCTCAGTGGTTAAGCACCTGTGGGTTCAGTCCCTACCAAAAAAAAAAAAACCACAACAGCAAAAGTATAATACAGGTATAATACAGTAAATACATGCTTAAAAATACAACACTTTCTCCCTTGTTATAGGTAACTTCTGTATTGCTATATGGTTTTTGTTCCGCACATCTTTTTATACATTTGCGACATATCTGTTTATTCCTCAAAATTTATTACATTTTTACATGTTCCAAAACTACATAAATGATTCAGTGAAAACACTCTTCTGTCAGGGCATCATGGCACACCTACAGTCTCACCTACTGGGGAGTCTGAAACAGGAGGATCACATGTTCAAGGCCAGCCTTGGCAACTCAACAAGACCTTATCTCAGGGTACAAAATTGAAAGGGCTGGGGATGTAACTCAGTGGTAGAGTACCCCTGGCTTCAGAGTCAAAAAAAAGAAAATACTCTTCTTTATTTGACTTTTTTTTTACCCCAGTATATTTATGGGATTTATTCATGTTGATAGGCATTGCTTTATACTTACTATTCATTGTTAATGCTGTATATTATTCCATTGAGTGACTATTCCAAAATTCATCTACTTTACTTTTGAAGGACATATGAGATGTTTTCACTTTTATACACACACACACACACACACACACACACACAGAAATGCCCCTATTAATCATACTGATCATGTCCTGTGCACATGGTGGAGGTTACAGAGCTTTATCAATTGTTTTTCTGTTTCTCTCTCTCTCTCTCTCTCTCTCTTTTTTTTTTTTTTTTGGTACCAGGGATTGAACCTAGGGGCACATAACTACGGAGCCACATCCCTATTCCTTTTTATTTTTTGAGACAGGGTCTTGCTAAGTTGCTTTGGGCCTTGTTAAGTTACTAGGACTGCCCTCAAACCCGGGATCTTTCTGCCTCAGCCTCCCTAGTAACTGGGACTATAGGCATGTGCCACCATGCCCAGCTTTATGGAATTTCTTAGAGCATTGTCAGTGTAATAGATGTTCTAGTCTATTCTTTGAAGTGATTATATTACCAACAAAATGTTTATATGGATTCCTTTGCTCCCCCACATCACCAACACATAGTATTGTCAAATTTAAATTTTGCCAATTGGTGAATATAAAATAGTGTCTCCTTGTGATTTTACTTAGCATTATGCAGATGACAAATATATGAACTGACCATATTTCTTTTGGAATTTCCTATTTTTATCTTTTACCCATTTTATATTTAATTCTTTTTCTTAGTCATTTAACTTTTTCCCCCCTGGTACTAGGGATTCAATCCAGAGATACTTTGCCACTGAGCCTCACCTTTAGGTCTTTTTATTTTTTATTTTAAGAAAGGGTTTCACAAAGTTGCTGAGGTTGGCCTCAAACTTGCAGTCCTCCTGTAATTTATAAAACGTTTTATATGTTCTTTATGTTAATTTTTTTAATATTTATTTTTTTAGTTTTAGGTGGACACAATATCTTTATTTTATTTTTTTATGTGGTGCTGAGGATCGAACCCAGTGCCTCACGCATTTCAGGCAAGCACACTACCACTTGAGCCACATCCCCAGCCCTTAATTTTTCATTTCTTTAGTTTCATTGTTCATTTCCTATAGACGTCTGACCTGCCAGTATTTTTTGAGTCCTAATTTTAATGTAATGAACTTTAAATATCTTTTTCTTCATGACTTGTACTTTTTATCTTAACACATTATTTTCTACATAAAGATGAAAGTCTAATCTCTTCATTACAAAGATTTAAAATTTGTTTTGCATATTTAGATTTATAATCCATCTGGAATTTATTCTTTCCTAGGATGTGAGAGGAATCCATTTAATATTTTTGTCTGTGTAGATATGTAATGGTCCATTCTTCTTCCCCAGTGACCTACAGTTCTACCTTATATATTTAAAGTTTTCTTTTTATATATGGGTTTATTTCTGGGCACTCTATTCTGTTGGTGTCCTTGTTTATTTCCATGCTTCTACTACACTGTCATATTTTCTGTAGATTTTTAGTAATTTTGCTTTTGGTAGAGAAGACTCTCTTACCTGTCCTTTTTCAAAACTGTCTGTTCTTGGACCTGTTTTTTTTTTTTTTTTCCCCTCTAAACTCAAAACCCTTGGAGTTGAAATTCCATTGAGTCARTTGATTAATTTGGAAAGAATTGACATCTTTGTGACAAGAAGTATTCCTATGTATGAATATATCTCTATTTGCATTTATTTAGGTCTTCAGTGTCTTTCAATTTAAGCTCTTTTAAAGATCATGCACATATTTTACTCATAGGTATTTGTGGTTTGGTTGTTTGTATAAATGTAGTTATTTGATGGAAGATGCCATTTTCCATTTGTTGATGATTTATACTAATGAAATAGATTTCTTTTTCATTTTTTAAAATTTTAATTTGTTATATGACAGCAGAATGCATTATAACTCATATTACCCATATAAAGCACAATTTTTCATATTTCTGGTTGTACACAATAAATGGATTTTATTTGTTGATTCTATAGCATTGCAAAATTCTCATATTACTTATGATAATATCTCATTAAAGGTGATATAGTGAACAAATGAAAGTAATTTTGTTTCTTTATATTCCATACCTTCTTTTCCCTCCAGTATCAGCACACCTGGCCTTTAATACAACTYTGTGTAAAAATAATAGTGGGAAACCATTTCATGTTTTTTATTATGTCCAGAATATTATTTTTTAATTATACTTATTGGTACATTTTAACTATACAAAATAATGGATTTCTTTCTCTTTTTGGAACTGGAGACTTAACATAGGGGCATTTTTGCACCTAGCTACATCCCTGCTCTTTCTTTCTTTCTTTTTTTTTTTTTTTTTTTTGAGACAGGGTCTTGCTAAGTTGCTGAGGCTGGTCTCAAGACTTATAGCCCTCCTGCCTTAGGTCAGTGGGATTATAGGTGTGTGCCACTGCAGGTGGCTAAATAATGGGTTTCATTGTCATATTTTCATATGTGTATATAATATACTTTGATTGTATATACCTTTCCCATTACTTTCTTTTCCTCCATTCTTCTAGTTCCTTCCTCCTTCTAATAGTCCCCTTTCTATGTTCATGTCATCTTTTTACCCCCTAGATTCCACATATGAAAAAAACATGGAATACTTATCTTTGAGTCTGGCTTGTTTCACTTAACTCGTTGATCTCCAATTCCATCTATTTTCCTACAAATGACATGATTTCATTTTCTCTATGGCTGAATAATATTCCATTGTGTGTATTTACCACATTTGTTTTATTCATTCATGTATTGAGCATCCAGACTGATTCCATAAATTTGGCTATTGTTAATAGTGCCATGACAACATAAGTATGGAGATATCTCTATTGTATGCTGACTTTTGTTCTTCTGGGTATTTACCTGGGAGTGATATAGATGCTGGGAATGTTATATGGTTAGTTTTTTGTGAAATTTTTATAGTGTTTATTACTAATTTACATTCCCACCAATAGCATATAAGAATTCCTTTTCCCCACATCCTTACTCGCATTTGTTGTTGGATTTTGTTGTTGTTGTTTCCTTGATAATAACCATTCTGTCTAGAGTGAGATAGTATCTCAATGTAGTTTTGTTTTGTTTTTTTTAGTTGTAGAAGGACACAATACCTTTATTTTATTTATTTTATGTGGTTCTGAGGATTAAACCCAGTGCCTTACCCGTGCCAGGCAAGTGCTCTGCCACTGAACCACATCCCCAGTCCTCAATGTAGTTTTGATTTGCATTTTCTGTATATGTGTGTATGTACATATATATGTACACATATATATTTTATTTTTATGTGGTGCTGAGGATCGAAYCCAGTGCCTCAGAGGTGCTAAGCAAGCACTCTGCCACTTGAGCCACAATCCCAGCCCATTGATTTGCATTTTTCTGATGACTAAAGACATTGAATATTTCGTATATTTTTCAACCAGTTGTACATCTTATTTTGTGTTAAATTTTTTTTAGTTCCTTCTATGTTCTGGATATTAATCCTGTGTTGGATGAACAGTTGGCAATGATTTTCTTCCTTTCTATAGGCAGTTGCTTTACTCTGTTGATTCTTTCTTTTGCTCTGCAGAAGTTTTTTCATTTGATATAATTCCATTTGTTAATTCTTATTACTATTTCCTCAGCTATTAGAATCCTATTCAGAAAGTCATTGCCTATAATACTGATTTCAAGTGTTTTACCTATGTTTTCTTCTAACAATTTTAACATTTCAAGTCTTACATAAGGTCTTTGATCCATTTGAATCAGTTTTTGAACAATTTCAAAATCTAGTTTTCAACCATCAGCAGGTAGTAGTTCACTTTTGACCTCACCATTTGTTAAAGAGGCTCTCTTTTCTCTAACATGTGTTTTTTGCCCCTTTGCCAAAAATCAGATGACTGTAGATGCGTGTCTTGCATCTATTCCATTGGTCTACATGTGTATTTTTATGCCATTTCCATGCTGTTTTTGTTACAATAGCTCTATATTATATTTGGAAATCAGTATGGTGATTTTATGAACATTGTTCTTTTTTTTAGGATTGGCTAGTGTGTTTGGGGTCTTTTGTGCTTCCACGTGAATTTTAGAATTGTTTTTTCTAGCTCTGTGAAGAATGTATTGGTAATTTGATGGGTATTGCATTGAATCTGTCAGTCACATCCCATAGTATGTCCATTTTACCAATATTAATTTTCCCAGTCCATGAATGGAGAGGTTTTTCCATTTTATGATGTGTTCTTCARTTTATTTCTTCAGTGTTTTATAATTTTTTCCTTGTAGAGGTCTTCACCTCCATGGTTAGGTTTATTCATAGGTATTTTATTTTACTTAAAACAATTGTAAATAGGATTGTTTTCCTGATTTCTTTGTTTTAATTTCTCAAAGAATTCAGTATTAGTGTCTGGGAAAGCTATCCAACTCTTCTGTGTTGATTTTRTATCCTGCTTCTTTGCTGAATTTATCAGTTCTAAGAGACTCTTGGTGAATTCTTTAGGGTTTTCTAGGTATACAGTTATTATCTTCTGCAGTTTTCTTGTTACTGATCTATTTAGATTTTTTTTAATTCTCTTGTTCAAGTTTGATAAGTCAAATATATCTGTAAATTGTTTCTTCTAGATTTTTTTTAAAAAATTTAATTACACCTGGACACAATATCATTATTTGTTTATTTTTATGTGATGCTGAAGATTGAACCCAGTGCCTCACATGTATGAGGCAAGCACTCTGCCACTGAGCCATAGCYCCAACCCCTCTTCTGGATTTTCTAATTTATTGGCAATACAAGTTTTCAAAATATTCCCTAATGATCTTATCAATTTTAGTGTACTACTTGTAATATCCCACTTTTTTCATCTCTAATTTTGTTTGGTTCTTCTCTTTTTTGGTTAGCTTGGTTAAGGGTTGGTCAGAATTGTTTATCTAATCAATTCTTTGCTTCATTTATTCTTCGGATTTTTCTTTAGTGTCTATTTCATTTATTTCTACTGGTTCTTATTATATCTTTCCTTCTACTAATATTGGGTGGTGTTGTTGTTTTTTCTTGTTTTTCTAAGTCATCATTAGGTTATATCTGAGGTCTATTTTTCTAATTTAAGTTGCTATAAACTTCCCTCACATTTGCTGTATCCCATGTGTTCTTTTTAAAAAATATTTTTTACTTATACATGGACACAGTATCTTTATTTTGTTTATTTATTTTTATGTGGTGCTGAGGATTGAACCCAGGTTCTCACATGTGCGAGGCGAGCTCTCTACCACTGAGCACAACCCCAGCCCGTCCCATATGTTCTTGTAGGCTGTGTTTCCATTGTCATTTGATTCTAGGAATTTTTAAATTTCTCCCAGTTTACTATAAAAAATACATTGTTCAATATGCATTTTTTTGTATAATTCCTAATTTTTCTTGATGTTAATTTCTATTTCATTCTGTTGTGGTCTGATAAAGATATAAGAAATAATTTTATTTGTGTGAATGTATGTGTATATTAGGATTTGCTTTATGGCCTAGAATGTTATCTATTTTGAAAAATGCTCTATGTGCTGATGAAAAGTATGTATATTCTATAGCTGTTAGATGGAATAGTCTGTAGATGGCTATTAAGTGCATATGATCTATAGGGTAATTTAACTCCAATGTTTCTTTTCTCATTTTTTGCCTGGATAATCTATCCATTGGTAAGACTAGGGTATTGAAGTCACCCACTATTATGGGACCTTTCTATCCCTTTGTGTCTTGTGTTTTTGTTTGTTTGTTTTAAATAAAATTGGATGCTGCGAAGTTCAGTGCATATATATTTACAATCATTATATTTCTCTTGATTGATTGTACCCTTATCAGCAATTTGGTCTTTTTTGTCAGATGCAGGGATAGCCGTGCTTGCTTTTGGATTTCATTTGGATTATCACTCTCCATCTTTTTACCTTCAGCCTGTATGTGCCTTTGTCAGTTTCAAAGAGTTCGGTCTTGCTTTTTAATCCATTCAGCTAGTCTACATCTTTGCATTGGAGAAATTAGATCATTTACGTTCGGGGTTGTTATTGCAAGGCAAATTACCAGTTCCTGTTGTTTTGATATTATTGTTTTATATGTTTTAAATCATCTTTGTTCATTTCTTTCTCTTTTATTTGTCTTAGGGGTTTGATGGTTTACTGAAATAATCATGTTTGATTCTATCCCACTTCTCATTTGCTTATCTACTTATTCATGTGTGTGTGTGTGTGTGTGTGTGTGTGTGTRTAATTTCAGTTGTAGATGAATACGATACCTTTATACCTTTATTTTTGTTTGTTTTCATTTTTTTGGTTGTTCAAAACATTACAAAGCTCTTGACATATTTCATACATTACAAAGCTCTTGACATATTTCATACATGGGTTATGAACTCCCATTTTTACCCCAAATACAGATTGCAGAATCACATCGGTTACACATCCACATTTTTACGTAATGCCATATTAGTAACTGTTGTATTCTGCTACCTTTCCTATCCTCTACTATCCCCCCTCCCCTCCTCTCCCATCTTCTCTCTCTACCCCATCTGCTGTAATTTAATTCTCTCCTTTGTTTTTTTTTTTCCTTTTCTTCTTCTTCATTTTTTTTTTTTTTTTTAAATGTGGTGCCAGGGATCAAACCAGTGCCTCACACATGCTAGGCAAGAGCTCTACTACYAAGCCACAACCCCAGCCCATCTACTTATTCTTTTCCATGCTCTTTTGGTTGTTTATCTTGGTCTCTCATCTGGGTGTAGGATTCCTTTGAGTATCTTCTGTAATGCTGATTTAGCAGTCTTGAATTCTTATCTTAAAAAGTCCTTTTTCTTCTTAGATTTTGAAGGATATGTTTTCTGGATATAGTAATTTTGTTTTCTTCAGGGCTTGAAATACATTATTCCATGTCTTCCTGACCCTTAGAATTTCTGCKGAGAAATCTGCTATTATTCTCATGGGCTTGCATTAATAGGTGACTTGGTGCTTATCTTTACAACTTTTAATATTCTTTCTTTGTTCTGACCTATTGATAGTTCATCTTGGAAAGGTTCTTTTCTGGTCATGTTTATTTGGAGTTCTAAATGTCTTCAGTACCGATGGCCACATCATTGCTAAGATTTGGAAACTTTCCACCTATTATTTTACTGAATAAAATGCCATTTACCTGTAGTGGGACTCCCTCATCTATCACTTTAATTGCTTACTTTACATTTTCCCAGATAAGGCTAAGAATAAAAATTTAAGCATAATTCATCTATTAACTGGCTATGATTGTAGATTTATAAATCATACTCTTTTAAAACCCAAGTACTTGATTATCTTGCCAGCTGAAGAATTTTTGTCCTAATCCATCTTTTTACTACCTTACTACCTTTTAGAGCCCAAAGCAGTTTAATAACCACTTAACTCTTATTAAACTGGTACYGGCAATTTCTGCATGAACTTCTCACTTTATCTTAGCTATGTGATTGGATACCTACCTCAGCATTTCTTTTTCTTTGTTGTTGTTGTTTTTTCCTCAATTCAAAAAGGATTTTAGACTATCCAGTTAGCTATATTGCTGGAAATGAAAATTCCGGAGGATTCTTTTATAATTTTCAGCACTGTTACTCTAGATGATTCTGATTTGGGAATTCAGTGTCTAGGCAGATTTTCATTTCTGTTTTTCTCCATTGTGTTCAGCTGCTGGGTTATATGCATTCATTTGAGTATTGATGGGGGGAGGGGGTTTTCATAGACTTGGAGAAGAAGAAAATGGTTGTTTCTTTTTTGTGGGGAGGGGATTGGGTTCTGGAGATCAAACCCAGGATCTCACACATGCTAAGCATATGCTTTACCAGTAAGCTACACCTTTAGCCCCCATAATGATAATTCCTAATGTTTCAAATAATAAAAATTAATGGTATCTTTCTGTATCAGGTAGTAGAACTGCAAAATAGATTATCTGAAGAATCAAAGAAAGCAGATAAATTAGACTTTGAATATAAGCGGCTAAAAGAAAAAGTTGATAGTCTTCAAAAGGAAAAGGATGTAAGTATGTATATTAGGCATTTTGATTTTGACCACTGATAAATTTAGACAATTATATTTAATTCGTGTTTTAACTACATTAATTCCTTCTGTTCACGAATTTAAAAATTAGAGATTCTATTTATTTTTAAATTACAAAAAATTCAAAAAAGATTCCATTTGTTTTGAAAATAGATCTAAAGTTAAATATGAATTATTTTACTTCCATTCTAATTTTTTAATATTTATTTATCTTTTCTACCACTATTGCCTCTTTTAAAGTGTTTTGCTCTTTCTGTAAATTTGTGTAGTTTTTCTGCTTTCTATGTGATTAATTTATAAGACATTTATTTTTCAGCATGTTTTGAATATTTTAAAGATATTTTTGCTTTTCAAGGTTTATGAATACTTAGTTTTTATTCTTTGATCTTTTATGTTTAATGAGAAGGATGTTAAGAAATTAATTTCTTTTACTTAAGGATGGAGTAGATAGCTCTGTTTCTTATGTTTGTGTGTTGCATATTGCCTTGCAATAGTGGACATTCAGTATTATTAAATGAAAAAAAATTGTTTTAATCTTTTTCTTTATGATCTTTCCATRAAAGACCAAAATGTAAAGCATGTCCAGGTTCACTGTTGTTTATCATTTTATTAGGTAAGGCAAAGACCACTGATGAATAAATTCATAAAGCTTGAAGCTGACCTTCCTTGTTTGTATATCCTTCCAGAGATTAAGAACAGAAAGGGATTCTCTGAAGGAAACTATTGAAGAGCTTCGTTGTGTGCAGGCTCAGGAAGGACAGCTCACCACTCAAGGTAAAACATCTTGTTAATCCAAACAAGATGATTTATTTCTGATGATTACCAAAAACATTAGGTTCACTTTAAGATAAAAATGAAAAATTGGTTCGAGGCAATAAAATTGATACGAATTTTTAAACTCTTACCCAGATTATGGAAAATAGGCTATAGTTATGGGACCAGATTTACTTGCCAACTTTTAGAGAAATTTGCTGGCATTTGAGTTTTTATTAGGTCAAATCATTTCTCTTTTTTATACCTTTAAAATAGACTTTATTTTTAGAGTACTTTTAGGATCACAGTAAAATTGAAGACAGATTTCCCATAGACCCTATGCCCACAAACATGCATGGCCTCCCTCATTAACAACGTCCCCCACCAGAGTACATTTGTTTCAATGATAAATGTATATTTTTTATCACTGGGAGTTCATACTAACATTAGGGTTAATTCATATGGGTCTGAATAAATATATTGATATGTATCTACCATTATGGTATCATGCAGCGTATTTCCGCTGCCCTGAAATTCCATGTCTGCCCTCACCCTATTCAGTCCCCACTAACCCTGGGCAACCACTGATCTTATTGATCTTTTTTTACTATCTCCATAGGTTTATTTTATTCAGTAGCATAGAGTTGGAATCACCTAGTATGTAGTGTTTCCAGATGGGCTTCTTTGTTGTTGTTTTTAAATATATATGACTGTAGAGTGTATTTTGACATATTATACATACATGGAGTATAACTCATTCCAATTAGGATCCCATTCTTGTGGTTGTACATTCATCTTTGTTAACCTGGAAATTCATTCTGAAAAACTCCTCATGTCTTCTTTAAAAGTATATCAAACATTCTGAGTCAGTGTTTTTTATTTGTTTGTTTGTTTTCCCTCTACTGAGAAAAGTGGAATGGATTTTAATCCATTAAGGAACATCTCCAAAATCTATTCTTCCTCACTTGAGAGAATCAACACTCAGCTCACTATTCTACTGCTCTTGCATGACAGTGGAGGACTGTGAAAGATTGATGACTTGAATAGCTTTGGTTTGTTCACTCCCACACTAATAACCAGTCCCTGCTTGTTAGTTAGATAAAACTGGAATATTTCTTTTCCCATGACTACCCTTTTTCTTAATTCCTTATTTCTTCTAAAAACCTGCTTATTTATTCCTTTACCTTCTAATCTGGCTCCTATARTCTCTCTTTATTTTGGGGAAGGGGCCTTACCAGGGATTGAACTCAGGGGCACTTCACCACTGAGTTGGTTAGTGCCTCAGCCTCCTGATCCACTGGGATTACAGGCATACTCCACTGCATTCAGCTTCCTATAGTCTCACTTAACTAGCTCTCTCACCTGGCCTTATTTTTCAACTTATTCAGCCTGCCTATCAACTATTTTAACCATTTTCTCATCACTGCTTTCTTTTCTTCTTACCTTGTTTTAGTCCAAGCTTGTCAAACCTTAATTTAGGCAGCCTAAAGTCCCTCCCCACACACATTGCAAATTGCCAAAGTCAACTAAAGAAAAATATATCTTTCTTAATTATCTTCACCAAAAATTCATCATTTCTTATATAATTGGATCTTCATTGCTTGCCTGGCAGTTTTTTCACTTGTCTCTAATCAACTCTGCTTGAATTTTTCTAAAATTTTGACTCTAACCTGAACTTTAACCTTTTTATTCTCAGCTCCTGTATCATCAAGAAAAGGTAGACTATCTCATGTAAACTCTGTTTCTGTTTGCTACCTAACAACCTGTATACTTTTACCTTCTTTATGTACATATCCTTTGACCTAACGATTYTACTCTAGAAATTTACCTTAATATGGCTTAAGGCATTGTTTCTAATAGTGAACTTTAAAAACAACCTAAAAATTCAGCAATGTAGAAATGGCATTCTCATTTGGCCATGTACTGTAGAGCTATTAAAAAGAATAAAGAATCTGGGCATGGTGGTGCATGCCTGTAGTCTCAGCGGTTTGGGAGGCTGAGGCAGGAGGATCCTGAGTTCAAAGCCAGCCTCGCAATTTAACAAGGTGCTAAGCAACTCAATGAGACACTGTCTTTAAATAAAATACAAAAACAGTGCTGGGGATGTGGCTAAGGGTTAAGTGCCCCTGAATTCAATCCCTGGTACGGAATAATAATAATAATAATAATAATAATAATAATAATAATAATACAAATCTTGTACTTGCCTGACATGAAGAGATGTGTATGTTCCATCAGTAAGTTAAAAAAGAAGGGGASAGGGCTGGGGTTGTGGCTCAGCGGCACAGCGCTCGCCTATCAAGTGCGGGGGCCCTGGGTTTGATCCTCAGCACCACATAAAAATAAATAAATAAAGATATTGTGTACAACTACAACTAAAAAATAAATATTAAAAAACAAGTAGGGGACAGCATTCTTGGTAGTCTCTCAGCAAACTAAAAATAGAATGAAAGTTACTCAGCCTACTAAAGGGTACCCATGAAAAACCTACAGCTAACCTCATATACCACATACTTAATGATGAGAGACTGATTTTTTTCCCCTCGAATTAATGCAAGGATGTTCACTCTCATCACTTCCATTCAGTGTGGTGTGCGAGTTTCTAACAAGTGCAGTATGGCAAAAGAATGAAATAGAAAACATTTAAGATGGAAAATTTTGAAAGATGTAAATCTGGTATGGAATCCCAGTGGCTTGGGAGGCAAGAGGATTGCAAGTTGAAAGCCAGCCTCAGCAACTTAGCAAGGCCCTGCCTCAAAATAATTTTGTTTTTTTTAAGGGCTAGGCATGTGGCTCAAATGGTTAAGTGCTCCTGGATTCAATCCCTAGTACCAAAAAGAAAAAAAAAAAAAAAAAAGAAAGAAAGAAAGAAATGAGATCAGTGTATTTCTGTATACTACCAGTGAATATTCTGAAAGTAAAATTAGAGTGATATGAAAAAGAAATGACATTCAGGGCTGGAGGTATAACTCAGTGGTACAGCACTTGCCTAGTATATGTGAGGCCCTGGGTTCAATTTTCCAGAACTGCAAAGGAGAAAAAGGAAAAAAGTGCCAAGCACAGTGGTGTATGCCTATAACCCCAGCAGTTCCTGCAACTCAGATGGCTGAAGCAGGAAGATCACAAAATAAAATTTGTATTAAAATAAAATTTGAATAAGGGCTGGAGGTGTAGCTCAGAGGCAGAATGCTTCTTGGTCCAATCCACAAAAAGAAGAGAAAAAAAATGAAATAAAATGCTTAGGAATAAGTTTAAGAAAGAAATGCAAGACTTATACACTGAAAACTATAAAGCATTGCTACATAAATTTAAAAAAGGTCTAAATAAATGAAGAGATCTCTCATATTCAGATATTAGAAGATTCAATACAGTTAAGATTACAGCTTTCCTTACATTGATCCAAGGATTCAGTGCAATCCCAATAAAATAATCTCCAGTGGACTTTTGTGTAAAAATTGACAAGCTGATCCTAAAATTGACAGGAGGATCACAAGTTCAAAGCCAGCCTTAGCAACAGCAGGGTGCTAAGCAACTCACTGAGACCCTGTCTCTAAATAAAATACAAAATAAGGCTGGGGATGTGGCTCAGTAATTGAGTTGCCACCCAGTTCAATTCCCAGTCCTCACCCCCCCCAAAAGACATAGCAATCAAAGTAATTTACCACATTAACAAAATGAAGGGAAGAACAACTGTTCACCATCATGTAAGTAGATGCAGAAAAGGCCTTTATGTGTGTATATACTTATGGTAATGGGATTTACCATAAACAGGGCCTTGCACATGTTAGGCAAGCACTCTATCACTGAGGTGCACTCCCAGTTCTTTTATTTCATCATGAGATAAAGTCTTGCTAAATTGCCCAGATTAGCCTTGAAATTGCAATCCTCTTGTTTCGCCTCCTGAGTATATTCTCAGCTGAGATTATAGGCATATGCTACCATACCTGGCTCAGAAAAAGCATTTTACAAAACCCAACATCCACTTATAATGTTAAAATCTCAGTATAACTAGGAAGAGAAGAAAATTTCCTCAGTATGATTTTTAAAAATACGAAAAACCTGTAGCTGGGGCTGGGGCTCTGCAGTAGAGCGCTCGCCTAGCACATGTGAGGTGCTGGGTTCAACCTTCAGCACCACATAAAAATAAATAAATAAAACAAAGATATTGTGTTCAACTACAACTTAAAAAAATAATAAAACAAAACCTGTAGCTAACATCATATTCAATGGTAAAAACTAAAGCTTTTCCTCCAAGATCAGGAATAAGACAAAGATGCCCACTATCATCAATTCTATTTAATAAAGTACTAGAATTCCTAACTTGGGCAATTAGATAAAGGGTGAAGAGAAAAGAATTTTAAGAGAAAATTAAATGTTTAGAGGAATATGTTGATGACATTGAATTTGGCAGTGATTCTCTGGAATTAATAATAGCAAAAGCATAGGCAACAAAAGAAAAGCATAGGACTTTTGTCAAAATTGAAAACTTTTCTTCATCAAAGGACACCATTAACCAACTGAAATTAACCATAAAATAGGAGAAAATATTTGCAAATCATCTAGTTGGTAAGGAATTAATATTTAGGATATACAAAGATTCTATAAATCAATAGCAATAAACACAAAACACAGCCAGGCATGGTGGTACAGGCCTGTAATCCCATCTACTTAGGRGACTGAGGCAATGGGATTACAAGTTCAGGAGTGGCTAGAGCAATTTAGGAGACTCTGTCTCAAAGCAAAAAATAGGTTAGGGTTATATTTCATATACCTGCCTAGCATGTATATGCCCCGCCTTGAGTAGCACTTACTTGGCATGTGTGAAGACTTGGGTTTGATCCCCAACACCTCATACAAAACAAAACCACAACCACTTAATACCAGTTAAGGTAGCTAATACTCTTACTCACCCTAAAAAAAAAAAAAAGAAAAGAAAAAAAGTGCTGATGAAGATACGGAGAATTGGAACTCTTATACATTGCTGGTAGGAATGATCAGTGCTGTAGAAACCAGTTTGTTGGCTCTTGAGAAAGTTAGACATAAAATTACTGTATGATTTAGCAGTTCCATTCCTAAGTGTATACCCAAAAGAATTGAAAATGGTGGACTAACCAGATGCTTGTGCACAAATTTTCATAGCAGTAGCATTCACAGTCATCAAAAGGTGAAAGCAAGGCTAGTGTCTGTTGATCGATAAATGGATAAACAAAATGCATTTGTATACATAGGAATATTATTTGGCCACAAAAGGAAGGAAATTCTGATAAATGCCAAAATATGAATGAATCTTTAAAACATTGTTTTAAGTAAGCCAAACACAAAAAGACAAATATTGTATGATTCTACTTATATGGGGTATTTAGACTGGGCAAATTACTGAGACAGAAAGTAGAATAGAGGTTACCAGGGACCAGGAAAGGAAGGAATGGAGAGTTATTGCCTAATGTCTATAGAATTTCTGATTTGAGTGATACAAAAGTTTTGAAAATAGGCAGTGGTATTGGCTATATATTGTGAATGTACTTAATGCTACATAGTTGTATACTTAAAATAGTAAAATACTGTAAGACAGTGAGATCTTGTACTTGAGAAAATGGTGATTTTATCTGTTAAAATTAATGCTCAAGATAGAGTTTCCTCTAAAGTTTGTATTACTTAACTAAAGGATGTAGTTGTGCTTTCTGTTAACCTTGTATTTGCATCTGTGTTTATAGGATTAATGCCTCTGGGCAGTCAAGAATCTTCAGATAGCCTCGCAGCAGAGATTATTACTCCTGAAATCAGGTAAGGAGATTATGATGTTCACAGTCACACTGCATAATATTTCTGGATAAAAATGATTCCTTTAAAGTGTAAAGAGAACCAGTTCTTTTTTATTACTAATACTTTGAACCTGAATTCAGTATTAAATTTCTATGTTTTCAGCATGTTAGAAGCTTTCTTCAACTGGCCTAACAGATAACTGATCTTCTCATTTCAGTAGGACAATCTTTCACACAAAGTAAACTAATACCCTCAAAAACATTTAGCAATGAAAATATTTGGCCAAAGACAAAGGTTATGCTTAGCTATCAGCCTGCAAAATAATTTTAAGGTTTTATCTACTAACCACTTGGAATGGTCTGGGAAAGATACAGTGCTATAGAGAGGAGGAAACATCTCCCTATCTCTAAATACTCTTCCCTCAGTAATAATCCTTTTTATTTAGCCAAAGCATTTTTTTAAATTCCATTTAACTTAGCATATATATATATATATGAATGAGAAATGGGTTTGGGGGAAGTCTTCAGTTTCCAAAAGGAAAATGCTTTTACCTTTTCTGGGCCTATTTGCTCCTTTTTAAAATGGACGCTGACCTTGATTCTTCAGGGGTAGGTGTGTGACATACAACTGTAATCCCAGCTACTTAGGAGGTTGAAGCAGGATGATGGCTAATTTGAGACTAGSCTGGGCAACTTATTGAGATGCTTCCTCAAAGTAAAAAAGGGCTGGGGGTATATCTAAATGGTGGAGGGCCCCTATGTTCAATTCCTAATACTGARAAAAAAAAGAAAAAAAGAAAAAAAAATCTTTGGAATTATTAAGTGGAATAATGGTTGTGTAAAAGTTTTATAAACTGTAAAAATTGAAGTAAGTACTCATTGAATAAATGATTTTTTGATTTAAGAAGTACAAACAAAAGAAGTATAATTCAACATCATGTCTGGAGATATCTTTATTACTTCCTAATATGTTACATTATAATTGAACCAATAAAATTAGTTGAATGGATGAATACTTATTATTTAAAAACATTTATAAAAGTCTATGTCCCCTCAAAATTTTTTACAGTGGCTCTCTAAGAAAAGAATAATTATAAAGATTTGACAAGGTTTTTTTTTTTTGCATATTACTAGATACAAATTAGAATATGCTGTATATCCAGAAGAACTGTCAAAAAAATGAAATGATTAGCAGTGATGAAAAGTTTGCAACTTAAGTCATAGACAGTGGGATATTATTTCGTACTTTTTATTGATGTTGAGTGAGAAATTGGAATACTCAAAGTAGGGGAAAAGATTAAAGTAGAATAATTTTTTTAAGCAAATTAACAAAATGTCTCATCTAAAAGTGTGCTTATCTTTTAACTGAAAAATAACACTTCTGAGAATTAATCCTAAGGAAATTTTTTGTACACAAAGGTATATCCTATTAAAATGTTAAAACTCAATTGATAATCTGCCCATAATCGGACTTTAATGAAATAACTGATTCACTTATATATTTTAATAGTATGTCACTTAAAATTTATTAAAGTGGGGCTGGGATGGTGGCTYAGCGATAGAGCGCTCTTCTAGCACATGCAAGGCCCCTGGGTTCATTCCTCAGCACCACATAAAAATAAAAAAATAAAAATTTATTAAAGTGTAGTTAATAATAAAGATTATGAACTTTTAACTGTAAATAGCAGCTATGAGTGCAACGTGTGTTGTGTGATACCATTTTTTAAACAATGTGTACTGTATGTATACACATATAGAAAGCTATATTTAAACAATAGTTCTTTTGCATCAGAGAGTTATATTTTCTTTTATCTTTTATTCCCTACAATGAAGGTGTGTACTTTGAAATTGAAAAATACAAAGTTATTGCTGTCCATATACAAAATATTTCACATTCTATATGATTTCTTGAATTGAGTTGCAAGGGTTTTTTTTTATTTATATATGACAGCGGAATGCATTACAATTCTTATTACACATATAGAACACAATTTTTCACATCTCTAGTAGTATACAAAGTATATTCACACCAGTTTGTGTCTTCATACATGTACTTTGGATAATAATGATCATCACATTCCACCATCATTTATAACCCCATATCCGCTTCCCTCTCCTCCAACCCCTCTTTCCTATCTAGAGTACWTCTATTCCTCCCATGCTCCCACTCCCTATCCCACTATGAATCAGCCTTCTTATATCTAAGAATACATTTGGCATTTCRTTTTTTGGGATTGGCTAACTTCACTTAGCATTATCTTCTCTAACTCTATCCATTTACCTGCAAATGCCATGATTTTATTCTCTTTTATTGATGAGTAATATTCCATTGTGTATATAAGAGCATCTTGGTTGGTTCCACAGTTTAGCTATTGTGAATTGTGCTGCTTTAAACATTGATGTGGCTGTGTACCCAAAGGACTTAAAAACAGTGAACTATTGAGTTGCAAGTTTGATTCATCTTTTGAGTAGCAAAAGTAAACGTACTTGAGAAGATTTATGGTGTTTACAAAATAAGAGCTTGTTTTAATATGTATGTTTCTCATTTTGATTTGTTTTCCATTAGAAGCACAGCTTTTTATAGGATTTGGTATCTGAAAGCACTCTCTTCATGGGCCCGTCTAAAGAAGACCCTGTATAAAGAAGAAATGAATTATATATTTAAAGAACATTTTCATATGAATAAATATTTAATTATATTAGCTCTGTAATAAATGTGGTTACCAGTTCAGTGTGACTGTTGCTTTTAACATTCCTCTATGTAAGCTTTGGCTTGGCACAAGAATGAATGCAAAGCAGTGTAATCTAGTAATCTGACTCTAATAATTCACCTTGTTAGAAGACTACACTTTTACATATCTCTAGGATTGGGTGTGCTGAATTTCTTGAAAACAGTCCTCCAAATGATTGGTAATGTAAGAGCTTGGCTTTAGAGGTCATGTTTTCTTATGAGAACCAAAGAACAAGAAAACATAAATTTATTCACAGCTTAAATATTTAAATCAGAAGGGAAACAGGATTTTAAAATGCCTTCATTGTAAGTCATGATATGTAGAGATTATTATCTTCAGATTATTCCTTGTATAAAGAATTTAAGAAATGATGGTGGAATGTGATGATCATTATCATCCAAAGAACACGTATGAAGACACAGATTGGTGTGAATATGCTTTATATACAACCAGAGATATGAAAAATTGTACTCTATATGTATAGTAAGAATTGTAATGCATTCTGCTGTCATATATAAATATAAAAAGAATAAATTAATTAAAAGAAAATAATTTAAAACCTGAAATGGAATGCCTTAACAGTTAGAAAGAAACTAAATTCATTGCAGGTACTTTTTCACTTATGTGTATTGAGTCTGTAACTATACATGAGTAGATTTTTTATACCTATATTGTATTAATGTACCAGGTAATCAGTTTTTGTTTTGTTCATTCAGGGAGAAACTTATTCGTCTTCAGCATGAGAATAGAATGCTAAAAATTAATCAAGAGGGTTCAGACAATGAAAAAATTGCCTTATTGCAGAGCCTTTTAGATGATGCAAATCTACGCAAGAATGAACTGGAGACAGAGAACAGGTAGAGTATATATAGGTGGCAGCATCCAGCTATAGGCACTCCCTATTTGCCTTATTTTTGATTCCCTTAAACAAAGAGAATTTGGAATTGTAATTTGAAAAAGAGTCAAATGCTATTATATTGCCTTTGAAAAATACTTTATTGGGCTGGGGATGTGGCTCAAGCGGTAGCGCGCTCGCCTGGCATGCGTGCGGCCCGGGTTCGATCCTCAGCACCACATACCAACAATGATGTTGTGTCCGCCGAGAACTAAAAAATAAATATTAAAAAATTCTCTCTCTCTCTCTCTCTCTCTCCTCTCTCACTCTCTCTTTAAAAAAAAAAAAAAAGAAAAATACTTTATTTCTCCACTTAGACTTGCCAGAAAGTATTGTATATCTTTCTGTTAGCATTATCTTCTTGATTTTTTTTTTCAAGCCAAATGATACTAAAGCTCTACCATTTACCCTTTCTAATCACTAGTTAAAAGTAAAAAAGAAAACTAATCATTTAGTTTAGCCTTTTGCAACAATTTCAATTCTTATTTCATAATCAAGGTAATAAAGTTTATTGTTTTCATGGGCTGATGGTTTCAGAGGATYCATTGGCATGGAGTTGAATTGACAAAGCATTATTTTTTATAATCTGGTATTTATTGTGACACTAAAAGAAAGTCATTTCTCTTATGAGCAGTTCAGTTATTTTGAGAATTTAGAATCTGTAAATTTAACAAGAAAATCACTTTTCTGAGAACTTGTAAGTTTTTGGTGTATTATACAACCATTCAGAGTCAGTTAACATTAAAATGAGCAGTTTCCTTTAACAAAGGTTACTTTTATATTTTTGTTATAACTGTCTTTAGATTCTTTTGGGAAATGTTTCTTAAAATAATAAACATAATATTTTCCTTTTTCTTACTGATGTAATATTCTGTCTTTAGGGAGACTTTTCATTTTTATTATATAATTTATATAATTTCATAGTTTGCCTGATATTGCAGATTCTTTATTATGCCTGATTGCTTTGGCCTTTTGCAAGTGAGAGTCAATCTTGCGAGTCATAATTGTTATGACAGTTTTATATATCCTACCCTTCTTCCTATAGCTTTAAAAGTTAAATCTACCAAAGCAGAATCAGCAAACAGTATACATTGGCATAAATGCCAGAGTGATTATAAGAACACCTAACATTAAATACAAATGGAAGGAAAACATTTTTACATCAATTCTTAGGAACGTAGAAAATGAGTTTTTTAAAAAAAGTATTAGAAAAAGTAGAAAATGCAGTTGGTGGAGGAAGGATTATAGAAAACAGCTTGCTGCTGTTTACAACTTAGTGTTATGTTTGTTTCTTAAATTACAAAACTGATGACAACCTATCTTTAGATTATGATCACCAGTGATCTGTGATTATAACAACTAATATTTATTAAGCAACTCTTTTTTCCAAACATTGTGCTAAGTGTTTTAGACATGTTCTTTCTTATTTTAATGTAAGTTTTACAGAAGAGGGAACTTGGGCTCAGACTCTGGCTTCCTGGTTTTGCAGTCCTTGTACCTAACCTATACTCACCTTCTTGCCACTTTATCTTCTACTGTTTTTGTAGAACATTTACTCTCTTTCCTGTCCTCCTTTCCTCCTCTGTGAATCAACCTAAATTTGTTCTTCCTGAGTTTATAAATATTTACCTTATCTCTACCTTGATCTTGTAATAGGTTGGCAACAGGAACCTAAGGTTAGTCCCATTGTGTCTTGTTTATTTGTTATTTCACGCTAGTTTATTGAAATGTGCCATTTACTCCTCAATAGATTTTACATATTTCTCATATTCTTATTCACTCGCTAGTATCTAGTTCTGAACGGTCACTCAGTGTCATCTTTATCAGCCAACCATCTTCATAACAAGGTTTGTTTATAAGCCCTGGATTTTCTGCACATGCCTCATTAATTTCAGTTATTTCTGATAGAGGAGAACAGAGTTCACTGGCACTTTTCACTATTTCCAAAACACGAAACTCATCTTGTTTTATCAATTTTTGTCCCAACTTCAAGCAGACTACAGTAAACATTTCCCAGAGCTGCCTTCCCAGTGCAAAATCGCTGATTCCCACTGTTTCAGTACCATTTTCTGGTCTTATCCATTCATGTTTCTCTGAACTTATGCACAAAAGCGGAGCAGACCCCATACACAGTGTCCTGGGGACCCAGCCCTCAGCCACTCTGCATCATTCATAGGGCTATGTTTGAAAAACTATTGAGAGTGGCCATGTGTGCCTTGGCCACCCAGTGGCTTAGACTATAGTCCCCACTGAGTCTTTTAACCTTAAATATAATTGGTTAGCCACCCCATATGTCAGCTATTAGTAGGCCATGTTTGTAGTAGGCCTCCAAAGTCCTTTCTAGTGAGTCACTTTTTAAAAAAAATCTGTAGTTCTGTTATTGATGAAACAATATTAGAAGAGTGATAAAAGATTGAGAGTGGAGCCATAACAAAATTGCTCAGAGAACTTTCTCAAAGTACCCATGATCATGTTTCCCTACTTCTCAGAGAAAATTTTGAAGCTCAGCCTGTGTTCCATACTACCTTGATATCTTTGTATTCAGTAGTTAGACTTCGATTAAAATGTTAATTAAATTCCTGAAGGAAGAAAGAGAAGGTAGAAACAATTCACATTTATAGAATATCTGCTTTGTGCCAGTACTGTGCCTAACATACTGCATATGTTATCTCAATTCATCCTCTAGACAACTCCATGAGTGAAGTAGGCATTATAATTCTTTTTTTTAAACAGATAATCTTTTTCATATATATTTGTTTGCTCACATGCTTCATATGTTAACAGTTATATGTACTTGTCCATCTCATTGCTGGGCATTTACATTGTTTTCAAATCCCCCAAGGAACATGTTGTTACAGACTGATTATGACATTTACAATGATCTCTACCTAGTAGGCTTACAATGTTAATTAATGAAATAATCTCAAAAGCAGCTAAGATGAAAGTTGAAATCATCTTATAGTTTGAAACATTTTTCCCAAATGCTTTCTGAAAAGATTGAACAGAATAACAGTGTATTGGTCATGTATTTATGAACTTGTGTTGAATTTAGATTTTCAGATAATTTGATTTCTTAAAACCTCTTGATGAAAAGAATTTTAATAAAGTTTCTGACTGTTTTGATTCTAAAAGTTCACTGCTCTCTTTTTTATCCTTAATTTGAGACAATCTGGCTTCTACTCCCATTTCACTATATTATTTTTTACTAAAATAACTAATCATTTTTAAATGACTAATCCAGTAGGAATATTCAAGACATTATCTTTTCTCATCTCTATATTCAGTGATGCTTATTTCCTTCTCCTCCAAACTTTTTTTTCTTCACAGTAAAGTTGTTTTTCCCCCATCCCTTGGCCGATCTGCCATCTTTTCTCCTCATTACTACTATATTTCACATGCTTTCTAGACATTGCCATTTATGATTTTAGTTAACCTCAGATGGCTCTCAAGTGTGCATGCTCAACTTGGAACTTTTCTCTATACTTAAGGTTCAGGTATATTACTGTTTGACAGACTCTTCTAGGCACATTTTCAACAAATACAAAATCAGATGCTTTATATTTCTTTTTTCAAATTGTTCTTTCTGTCTTTCCTTTCTCGGTAAATTTCAAAATCCTAAGTGTTATTTTTGATTCCTGTATTCTTTTGCCATTTCTCCAAATATTTCCTGTTCTCTTCCCTTGGATTTCAGGCATATTTAATAGTAATAGGCATATTTAGTAGTAATAATTATAATAATCTTCTCCTAGTTTTCAGGCCTATCTTTGACCTTTTAAATAACATCTCTACTTTAAAACCAGTGTGATCTTTTTAAATGCTATCTGATTATATTTTCCCCTTCTTGAAATCCTTCAGTATCACCCAAGACCTAGGGAACCAAACTTGTCTACTGAAGCATGCATCACATTGAACTAGATAATTTATGAAGCCCTGGAATCAGCATTATGAAAATTTGTTTGGGTTATTTCAATTTCAGCCAAATTTTAGCTTTGTTCATTATAAGTTTCATATACTTGGCATTTTATACAAATGCCAAAGGAGCAGATTGTATCTGATATACTCTTTTTCTCCTCTAGTTTCATTCTTCCTCTACAAACTTATTTTTTAGTTCTACCATTTCTGAACACTGTACCCTGGTTTTTGGTTTTTGGTTTTTATATTTTTTATTTTGAGAAGGGTCTTAAGAGTCTTGCTTAGTTGTCCAGGCAGACCTCAAACTTGTGGAACTCCTGCCTCGGCCTTTTGAGTAGCTGGGATTACAGGTGTACACCACTGTGCCAGATTCATTTTTTGATGCTTTTGTTGGACATACTGTCTCAAATCCCCTTCCCACCCTTAATAACTTGGGCATTTTATTTATTGTTCTAATCTTAATTTATATCAAACATACCTTAATTACTCCATGGAATTCTTTTTAAATAGTCATCATTTCTTTTGTATATTTCTATATACCATTTTGAAGTATTTATTTCATTGTATTTTATTTGTTTACCTTTTTTTTATTTTTTAGTTGTAGCTGGACACAGTATATTTATTTATTTTTATGTGGTGCTGAGGATCAAACCCAGGGCCTTGTACATGCTAGGCGAGTACTCTACCGATGAGCCACAATCCCAGCCCTTTGTTTATCTTTTTATCTCTACCACACTGTACATTCCTTGAGTGAAGAGATATTTTCATGTTAGTGCTGATAACAGTACCTGGTACTTTATAAGCATACTGAAGTGAATTTCAGATAAATAAATATACATTAGCACTTCAGCTTCAAAAAAAGTGTCTACCAAAAATACTGTGTTAGAAATCATCCTAGAAATTTAAGCACCTCGGAAACACTGTGAGGTAGTAAGTTCTTATCAAACTTTGTAGATAAGGAACAGGCTCGGAAAGCCAGGTCATATGCCCAAAGTGATATAAACTGAGTGAGAACTTCCAGAATGGCCACCTTCTAGACTTCCCAGGGAACTCAAAATGAAAATCCTTAAAGAGCTTAAAAAAAGAAAGCAACCGCAGCATAAGCTTCAGCTGTCCTGACTACTGGAGCTCCTGTTCTGGTAAGACTGTGACATCCTCAAACCCGGAGAAAAGGCCTCAGGCATTCAGACAACTAGCACTGTGATAACCAGCTATATACCTGAGACAAGTCACTTCGCTGCTATGGTACTGGAGGCACCATGGATTGTAATAAATTTAATATACCCTTCCAATACTCTTCTTTTTCTTCTTTTAGTTTTTTAAAATTTATCTATATTAACTTCTGGGTAATTGTTTTGCTAGTATTTTTATTCAACTTAATATAAATAGGTAATATGTTTTGCCCAAAAGAAAAAAATTCAAGCAATAGAAAAAAGAATGTGAAAAGTAAGCTCTGCTAATGACATGAGACTGCAACTAAACTACTATGTACTACTACCATAATGTTTGTTTTAGTTTGCTAATAATACTTTCTGTATAACCAATATAACAACCAAAGGAACAGAAGCATTAATAAATCTATGCTTAGAAAATTAATGTRCGTTTGATTTGTAGGCTTGTGAATCAAAGACTTCTAGAAGTACAGTCACAAGTTGAAGAACTGCAGAAATCTTTACAAGATCAAGGCTCAAAAGCAGAAGATGTAAGTTTTAATATATACCAGCCATAGTCCAAAAGTTTCACAAAGTTGAGAAAAGTTGTATACCTTATGTTCTCTCTCAAAATAATTTAGCAGTATATTGGTTATGGAAAAGAAACTGTTATTCTTTTTACTAACTTTCCTTATGAAAAAGACTAGATAGTACTTAATTATCTGTTTCAGATTTACTCTGCTGAGAATTAGTTTATTTCTAGTTAAGAAATAAGGAATTAATTGAGACTTTGTTTTAAATGTGCTCAATTCAGCATTCAGATGTCAAGAATAGGGTTTTTCTCTCTTGTCAATATATATATATTTTTTTTCAAATAAAAATTTTAATGTAAATTAGATATGGAAGAAAATAATGCCATCCCTAGAAGTCCATTTTCTCTGAATTTGTGAATCCCTCCTACCTCTTTTAAGATAGGATAGTACCCTGTTGCCTGTGATGAACTTGCAATCCTATCCTCCTGCTTCAGATTCCAGAGGAGCTGGGATTACAGGTGTGCACCACTGATCCCACTTTAAATATTCCTTTAGCATTCTGCATATTGAATCTCTCTGCCTACATAATTGACACATTTCCTATTGAATATGTGTTGAGCCAAAAAGGATGTCTTTCTTCACCTCCTCATGCTATCACAGTGCTTCAGTAACACACAGTAGTTAATTATTCTCTAGAAAAAGCAGAGCTATAGCTGGGTGTAGTAGCATATGCCTGTAATTCTAGTCACCCAGGAGGCTAAGACAGGAGGATTGCAAGTTCAAAGCCAGACTTAGCAACTTAGCAAGACCCTGTCTCAAAATTAAAAATAAAAAGTGCAGGGGATGTAGTTCAATGGTAAAGTGCCCCTGGGTTTAATCCCCAATACCAAAGAAAAGAAAAAAGAGAGAAAGAAACACTGAATAGATTATAATTGGCAAGTCTTTTCCATTTAATGAGAAGTATGCAATAGAGCTAAGGCTTGTAAAGTATTAAAAAAAACAGTGTTAAGAGGAAAACTAAGTTTTATTTATTTAATTGGTCTTTGCTTCAGCCAGCTGTTTTGTTTCATTTTTTTCCTGTTACCAGTGTTATTTGCTGTAATTTCTAGTCTTGAATATATACTTGATTGTTTCCATTGATACAGTCATTTTGGGGGATCAATTCAAAAGTATAGATTCAGCCACTCACCCTTATTAACATAAGAGGGTATTAAAACAAAAGGAATCAAAGAGAGGGAGTTAAGTAAATACTTAAAATCTGAGAATACTAAGTATTGAATGCTCCAGAGGGACTTAATCAGTTTCTCTATATACACTTAGTTTAGACTGACAACACATGCCCTTCTTTCTAATTAGTGATTTTAGTTTATTCCTCAACTATTGTCTTGGTGTAGTCATCTTTGTTTCCCAAATTGATTTCCAACTTCTTTCATTGTCACTAGTGTTTAAATTATAGCTTTATCAAAATGGAACTAGTTTGAAATTTTGTCATACTTACTGAAGTGGGGTGTGTGGGGGATTGAACCCAGCACTATGCCACTGAGCCCTAACCCCAGCCCAATGTCATGCTTTTAAAAGAGGTATGTTTTTATACAGAATGCTAGATCACAAATTGCAAACCATTAGTGTACTAAAACAGTATTGAGCCTAATTAAGAAATCTTTGAATTGAACCACAGGTTGTAACATTTTCTGTTCATTGACATCTCTAGATCTCTTAAACTGGGATAAATGTAAATTTTTTTCTGGTCTCTAAAACTTAAAGGAGACTTTTCTGTATTTCTGTTTTGGTAGGGAGAAGAAGGGCCTGTCATAAACAAAGTAAATTTGGTGAATTATCAGTATCAGCTAAACTTTAGTGTTCTGATGATGACCATTGTAAACCATAAGTAAGGGAGTTTATTGTTTAAAAATAACTTGGCATAGCCTGGTTAAGTATCACTGTGATAATCAAATCTAATTAAATATGCTGTGGGCCATTACTTTAAGAGAATATATTTCAGAATTGAAATGCCAGCCCTACCAAATATTATTTGCATAAATTGATTGATTGATTGATWTGACTGCCTAATGAGATGTCTTGCTTTAAATTAAGCAAAAATTTCCTCTAAGCTCTCTTCTGTGTGTAGAAAAGATTCAAATGGAAAACTATTTCTGTTTTAAAACTCTGCCTTCAAATGGCTTGGAGAAATAAAGAGTATGTGATACTTTGTCCCTGTACACTTGATGTTTTGCCTTATATTTCTCTTCACTAACTCACAGTGTTGCATCTCCGGAATGTGTATCACATAGAGCAACCTGCCAAATGGAATTGGTCCCCTCTGAGGAACAACAGCATAGTTTCCGCCTGTTTCTGTTATCACAAACACAGTTCTTTCATGTGACCTTAAGTCAGAGTAGGATGGTTTGCATATTTTTATTATTATTTTTATGTCATTTGTTTTTAGCATGGAAGCAGAAAAGCATTGTTATATCCAGTCATATGGATAATTTGAGCTAGCCACAGTATATAAAACTCCAGAGAACAAGACAGGATGAGGAGAACATAGAAGAAAGAAAAATGTACATTTCTGAAAAAAAATTCATATCTTTTACTTCTGTTCATGAATTACTAAATCGTTCCTTCTATTGGCTGCTGTGTTTGCTTCATACTAATATGTCCTCTCTGTCTCTTGGCATGGTTTCTGCTCAAGGCTATTGTAAGTATGGCTTCCTGTTCATTTCTATATATTGAGCAGTTTTTAGATTTATAACTGTTATTCAACATCATAGTTGATGTTAAAATTTTAAATAAAGGCAATTTTATGCAAAATGGATATACCAATATTACTTGCCTTATATGTTTATATCCTTTATAGTTAAGATACTTACAGGATATCCAGATCTTAAAAGTCAAATCATAGCGAAGTCTACCTTTATTTTCCCCCCATCATTCCTGCTATGGCCATTATTATAATCAATTCATTTATATAAATTATTTTGACACCAGCATCCTAATGCAGTCTGGCCTCTTCCTGCCATACATTTGGATAGTAACAGTCTTCAATTAGGAAAGGTACTTTGCATAGAAGACATAAAAGGAAAGGAGATGCATGGATTTGGGGGTCTTATAGACCTGGATTTTAATTTTGGATCTGTTAATTGAAATCTTCTAAATATTCTTCAGCCTCATTTTCTTCAACTTTAAGATGGGGCTAATATTATAATGTTGTGAGGTTTACATAAGATAGTTGTATGTGACACACTTTAGTGCAGTGCTTGGTGTATTGACCACCTATTATTTTATTATCTGTTATCTCAGTTCAAATTAGTTTTGCTAGAGTCTAATCAAAACATAATTACAAAATTTAAAGTTGAGGTTTTTTAAAAGAATTTAATTTTTATTACTCGTTACTAGAGGGAACAAGTAAAAATCAAAATGCTAATAGGATTGTTGTCTGTGTGTTTGAGGGATGCAGTGATACGAGACATACTGAGAAAAGAAGTACATTTAAAATGTTCCTAAGTTGTATTAAAATGGACTTGAATAAACAATTATGGTGACCATTATTAAATAATGCAACTGAAAATTGAAGAACTTAGTGTAAGGGATTGTTCTTTCCTCATTGCTACTGTTGATCAATTTGAATAACTTGTTTAATAAGCCTGTATTAATTGGATTTGGCTGAATTAATTATATAATCATTTATCTTGAAATGTTTTATAAAATTCATTATTAATATATAACCTTATTAGTGTTTAATTATGAAACTTAGTGATTTTTCCTTGTTTATTTTTAGGTCAATTTTTATCTCCAGCTTTTCAGGCGACTTTTTTTTTTTTTTWAARRRRA